AGATATTCATTAGCCATCCTTTTGATAATGCATTCTGGTTGTACTTGGTTCCTACTTATTTCTAGTTTCTGTGATTACAACCATTCGCACACAAGTTAAGATTGTCGTTTCACTTTGGCCCTATAAAGATCAAAAGGGATAATTATTTTTCATTAAAAAAAACCCCAAACATCTATTACTCTTCTAAGAACTTATACTCAAAGTAGCCGAAATCTTTGGGAAAAGAGATGCTATATGCAGCATTATAATACTGTCATCAGGATTAGGCAAATGAGTTGAACGCATGAATTTAGCATTAGGCCCTAGAAATTCACAAAATGGGGCCTAGTCTCAAAAGGGAAACTAATTTTTTTTTTAAACCCACAACAAATCATTTCCCCAGGAGGTAAATGGGCAATTGAAGGAAGAGTCAGTTTCTTGAGAATCTCAGGAAGATTTTGAGTACAGTGAAGGGAATGAGGGGAGGTAAGATAGATAGTGATCCATAATTACTCACATTTTCCACTTTCTGCCAGGATAACACAGACAGTACTGCATACAAACAAACTTACTACTGGCTCAGTTCTTCAGAAAGCTAGGAGAATCAGGCCAATTACTTCTGTCCCTTTGGGACGATTACTGTTTATTCTTCCTTTCTTCTCATGTTCTGATCCCCTACCCCCTTTTTTTCTCCTTTCATTTTTACAAGAAGCACATTACACATTGTCATTCAATGACCCTGCAGCTACTCTCACCACCGTCTCTAGGGAGTTTTGTGACTTTCAGTGATCTGGGAAGGATTGCACCCCAATGGATAACTAAGTTTTATTTTCTGAACTACAGGTAAATTAACACAGAGATTCACAGGGCCTATTAAATTGCCACTTTTTAACTTGTCTGATGCCTTTTAGTTTCAATTTCAACATCCTGCATTCCCATTTCCTTTCTCTGGTTAACCAGGGTAAATGAGATGAACTATGTTTAAAATCTCTATTAAACTGTTTACTATAAGCCAGAGAACAATTGGGAGAAGATGGATATGCCAACCTAAAATAAACAGATAAGGCTGGCAATAAAGCATTATTTTTAATTCATGAAAGTGTCTGTTTCCAGAGGAATTATTTAATCTTAGAATTCTCTTAGGTCACTTTCTTTCTTTCTTTTTTTTTTTTTTGAGGCAATCGGGGTTAAGTGACTTGCCCAGGATCACACAGCTTGTCTATGGTTGGATTTGAACTCTGGTCCTCCAGACTTCAGGGCTGGTACTTAGATCACTTACTATGAAAGCTTCATAACCACAGCTAATCAATAGCCTTATGTCATTAAAGTTGTCACAAAAGAAATAGGGCATTGGAAAATCATCTTCTTAAGACTAAAGCCTTAAAAAAAAAGACTAAAGCCTTAGGGGCAGTTAGGAGGTGCAGCAGATGGAGCACTGGTCCTAGAGTCAGGAGGAACAGAGTTCAAATCCAGCCATAGACTAGCTGTGTGATCCTGTGCAAGTCACTTAACTCTGACTGCCTCCAAAATCTCTCCTCAAAACAAACCAAAAAACCCCCCTAACACCTTAAAACACAATTAGCCTAGTTTTTCCCTACCACAGGATTGTAAGATTCAAAGCTAGAAGTAATCCTTAAGAAACCAAGGAGAGGAGGTCAAACATAGAGGAAAGAGTATGAGCTTGGTGTCAGAAGACCTTGTTTTAAGTTCTGGTTCTACTACTTACTAGCCATTTATCCTTGCTTTGTCAATAAACCTCTAAGCCCGAGTCTATAAAATGAGGATGACAGAATTTCAGAGTTGGAAGGCCCTCAAGAACCATATAATCTTATTCCTGAAAAAGAATTTCTTCTACTACATGCCCAACCAGTACTCATCCACTTTTGCCTGAATACCTCCAAAGACAGGGGAGTAAGTAGTGCCTGAGGCAGATACTCTGGGACAGCTCATGTGGTCAGGAGGAAGTTTTAACTCATGTTAAGACCTAAATTTGTCTCTTTATGACTTTTATCCAGCTCTAAAGTCTGTCCTTTGGTATTAACTAGAAGAAATCTAACACGACTTCCAGGTGACAGCTTTCCATATATTTGAAGAAGGTTATCATGTCCCTCCAAGGTCTGGTCTTCTACAGGATAAATATCCCCAGTTCCTTAAATAATCTTTATATGGCATGAACTCAAGACATTATAATCATGATACTACCTGATAGGCTGCCATAAATAAAATAAACTGAAAACTAGTAAGTATTATATAAATGTATACTATTAATTCCTATTATGATAAGCATTATACAATCTGCACCACTGGTTCCCAAGAGGGTGCTCTGGCATCCTTGGGCACCATGAAAATCTGCATGGGTTACTATGGATTCTCTTCTGGGAACTCTGCTAGTCCTTGCTATAAAGAGCAAATGATCAACCCAGCAAAAAGAGCATAGTTCTAAGAGCTGGAATGGACCTCAACAGTCATTTAGTCTAATCTACTCATTTTGCAGATGAGAAAATTGAAGCCTCTTTGGGCATGGAGCTCAAGTCGTACTCCCTTTTGGGACTGAACAGCTTGGACTTTCTATTCATATATATATATTTTTAAACAAGACAATATGCCAATGAAAAACAAACATGGATTTAGGGTGCCTACATTCAAAAAGATTTGGAAACCAGAGAAAGACATTACAGTACATCCCCTAGGCACTGACCATTTATTGTTACTATTTAGTTAAACTGTATTTATTCAGAAGATGGGCTGGAAAAGCCCCACAGAAGTCTAACTTTTTTTAGAAACAGTGAAATATCCTGAAGCCTGGGAAAGAGGGTGGAAAAACTAAAGGGCTAAATAATGGCTATCCAAGGAGTTTGCTACTTATCATATCTGATTGATCATTTAGCAGAAATTTATTTAGTATGTCGTACTGTGGTACCATATAAATATTTTGAGGTAACCTAATCTAGACCAATGTCTGGTATTTAGGGGGTAAAGCAGAATCCACACGTTTTACTAAGAAATGACATACATCCAAAGTAATGCCTATCCGTCATCTTTAAATTAAATAACTAGGAATTCTGCCGATAACAAGAGCTTTACCTACATGACCTCATTTGATGACAACAGCAATCCAGTGAGGTAGGTATTACAAGTATTATTATCCAATAAAATAAGACAAGAGAAGAACAAGAGCTTTACCTACATGACCTCATTTGATGACAACAGCAATCCAGTGAGGTAGGTATTACAAGTATTATTATCCAATAAAATAAGACAAAAGAAGTGACTTCCCCAAGGTCACGAGATGATCCTCAAGGTCTCTTTCAGCTATAACCATCTACAAGTCTGAGTAAGTGCTCAGATTAGAACTTTCACTAAGGTATTCTCATTTCAAATGTAAACTTCTTTCCAGGATACCATATCAACTTTTTAAGAGCTCTGAACCAAGAACTTTGAAATCTTGATAAAGCAAATCAGTTACCTGTATTGATAAATAAAATGGTTCTTCTGAACGTGGACTGCTTTTTTTCCAAGTCAAAGATGGCCTCCTTCCATGGTCCTAATTTGTTATAGCATTTAACTGTCTCTTAAACTATGTGTTATAGCATAAAGGGAGCTGAGAAGAATAAGTGCAAAGAGGAGGGAGATAAGGAGAAATCAAGGCTAATGTATCTTGAAAGAGGTTTGCCACAACCTCCCTCCCTGCATCTATAGAGAGCTCACATAATAATGTAAAAATGAAACTTGGTAGGATCCACCCCTATTCCTTTTTCTAAATATGCTAATAGTAGTCACATCAAGAGCAGCATCAGCATATTAACTCTTCTCAATGCTACTTTCAAGTTGACTGTTGAGCTTCTAGTGCTAACATCATTTAGAAAAAAATGACCTCTTGTTTTCTATTTATTCCAATCTGAACTGGAACTTTTAATTTAGCTATCAGGGTATCTTATGCTTGTGCCAATGAATTAAGATCCCATTCCACCAAAATCACCAATGGGCCACACACTAAAAACCAGTTTCAGGCCGCTGGGTAAGGTCTACAGGGACCAACTGTGCTTGGATAATGCTTCTTTGTATCTCTTATAGTTCCCAGCACCAGTACATGGCACCTCAATATGCATCTTTTAATGGATTCTCACTTCAATTGCTTGAGCCTTCATTGTGCCTAGATTTAAAGGTTTGCAGCCACCCAAATCCCACTATCATAGACAGTTACAATTTTAGTCCTTAGTAAAAATAACAAAATTTGAGACCAACTTATCTGTCTTCCTATAAGGCCAAAAAAAGGCACATAAAGAGAAATGACTAAACATAAGTTTCTAAAGATCAGATGTTCTGGAAACCTTCAGCTCTGCATAGATGCTGTAGTTATATTATCAACCTCATACTGTAGCATCTCTTTACTGAAGAATGAATATCTCCCTCCATTGCTAACCTCAGACAACCAGCTTGGTTTTCAAGTCTAGTATTAGCTGGTGACCATATCAAGAGACAGCAAAAAGTAAATAACAGACATTTTTCAGTTGTAAGTTCTACTGGAATCTGATCCCTAAAATAAAATCTATGCTGTCTTTGCCCCAGTTAGCCAACAAAGTCTCTTCTTTCCTCTGATAAAAAAATTTTTTTTCAGGGGAAGTAAGGAAGACTTAATATCTTAGTGTATCATCTAAACATCTGGAATCACTCAGTAGTCAATCTCAGCTTAAAGGCAAGTTTTAATACACAACAGGAAGCAAATGTGGTACACACATGCTAGGGAAGGTATTATTAGAATTAACAAACTAGAGTAGACTGGCTGTTACCATTTACTGATGATAAATTAGTACAAATGCATAGTCTTTCTTTTAAAGTTAATAAAGAAACAATTAGAATACATAGCTGCATCTAAGAAAATAAAGTATAAAGGGCTAAATCTTTACTTACATAATTTTTGAATAGATAAGAAACCAAAACAGGACACCTCCAAGAAGCCTTCCTCCCCAGGGGATCTCCCTCATGCAAGGTCATTTCAGAATGAGAAGAAAACTGCTTACTTGCACATGTATAAGCATCTTTGTTGGTGAAAGCTTTCATACACTGGCTGCAACTGATTGGCCCCACAACAGGGATGGAAGCAAATGTATGTCCGTTCAACGTCTTCTTGTCCTTCTCTTTCTCTTTGGAATCTTTATCTTTCTCCTTAATCTTGTCTTTGTCCTTCTCCTTCTCCTGCCAAAGGAAAGAGACATTAGTTGTACACTAGGTGGCATTCTCATTAACTTATGCCTTGGGATAACATGCCTTAAGGTGTTTTGTGGAGAGGTAAAGGGTAGATAGATGCTAGGCCCAAATTCTCATTGAGAAATGGCTTTTATTAAAGTTATATTAGTAAGGACATTTTCATTGTAAGAAAAACTATCACTATGGTTTTGTGAATATTACTAAGGTCTATGTTGCTGCCATTTAGATTTAATTGTGCCATGTGACTGCCCTTTAAAAAATTTTCACTTGGAATCCCCTAAGTCCTTCCCTCCTCCTTTTTTTCCCCTCAGATCTCACCTTACTGATACAGGTAGAACAAAATGCCAGATATCATCAAGAAAATTATTAATAACACAACAATATTTTCTCCCTTTGCTTAAAACACAAAATAGGGCAGCTAGATGGCGCAGTGGATAGAGCACTGGCCCTGGAGTCAGGAGGACCTGAATTTAAATGTGACCTCAGACACTTAATACTTACTAGCTGTGTGACCCTGGGGAAGTCATTTAACTCCACTGCCTAGCAAAAAACCAACCAAACAAAAAAACCACAAAGCAAATCTACACCTGGAGTATTCTGAATGGTGTTCTGTTCTTTCCAACTTAAGAATTTTCCTGTGAAAGGTCAGGAGAAAGGCAATTAAATGATTCATAAGAGAGAATGGTACCTCTAAATACTGGGGCACAACATGACTAAAAAAGTTTTCATGATAATACACACCACCAAAATTAGGAGGAAATATCTGTTGGGTATCAGAAGAGAGAAATTAATAGAAGATAAACTTTTAACAGATTATTATAGAACAATGGCATAGAACCATAACCTTTTGAGGTTGACACCACAAACGTCATCGGTACTCTTGAGACTAAATTCTCCTTGATGTTATTGTCAGAGACAGAACACTCACCTAGATGAACCAATGATTTACCAATACATCACATTTAACAAATGAATTTGAGAGATTTGCATAAGCTATATTGGCAGTTATATGGAAATTAATATGAACTTAAAGATTATCTGCATGGTGCCATATGCCACAACAGAACTTCAAAGACATACATAGTCTTTTTTTAACTCCAAAGTTTCTTTTAACTACTGGAGTTGTTGGAAGATGCTTTTCTTTAGTATGGAGATTTGTGTATATATAAATCTAGGTGTTGCAGTGGGTATTTGCTAAAAGTGGATGTTAAAAACAACATTTAAACACTAGAAAACTGGAGAAAGACTGTGAAACACATGGTTTAGATAAATTTTTTTTCTTGCTGATTATTAGGGTACATTTAATTGAAATTCAGAGGGCACAGTGATACCATGGAACAAAACTACAAATAAAAATGCAATGTGAATTAAAAGATAAACTGCTTCAGTTACAAAACAGGAAACTGCTCTGAGGAGGAAAAAAAAAAGTAATTTCTACCATACATATAAATGTAATAAAAATTGACAACTTTAAAAATGATGTCACTTTACAGATTTTTCCTCTTTTCCCACAATTATATGTTTTAGTGTTTCTCCACATGCAAATGTTGGAAAAAAAAGCATCCCCACATACTCTGTTCTCAAGAGCTTACAGTATATTTACAATTAAAAGTTACAAAACATTTGCAATGGCAACTAGCTGTTCACATTCTTGCAATGCTGCAGTGCTGTTCAAACTTTAAAAATTAGCTTCTTCACTCTCTACTCTTCCCAATACTCCCCCAAAAGGTTAGTTTTCTTCCAAGAATCAGAAAACCCAAGCTCCATGTCTTTCCTTTATGTGCTTGCTTATTAGATTTTTGTGTTACAAAAAGTCAGGCTCTTACCTCCCCATGTTTTGGTCCTATCAATCTCACTGTTATGAGAGGGACTTCATGAAACCGACCCCACTTTACCGACATAATTCTCCCCTAAGGACAGGAAATCTGCTCCCTGAGAAGGAGGAGCTCATGCCTACAGGACAGAGCAGATCGGCTTCAAGCTGCCATTAGAGAAAGTATAAGAGGAAGCCAGAGACTGGTTGAGAAAGAGACAGAGGGAGGGTTGATAACAGCCTGTTTCCTTGAAGACAATCTTAACTATTTGGATGCTGCTAGTAACAACTTTTAAAAATGATATGGGAACTGAAACAAAACTAATTCTCCCCAACATGTCTCAAGCTTGGAAAGACAGCTGGGTCTGGGTTTTACAACTGATAATCACTTTAAAAAATCTCTTTGAACCAAATGCTTCATTTTATAAAACCAGTGATTCCCTTAGGAACACTCTTAGTGAATCATCTGGCTTTGGGGAAGGAGTAATCTATTTTTTTTCCTAAATCTGACTTTTCATATGATTACTTAACTTTTTCATCTGCCAAACTTGTATATTTTGAAATTTAAAAAAAAATCTCTTCCCTAGGAAACAGTTAACAGTATTTGAAAATATATGAACAAAACCTCACTAAGATGACAGTGGAAAAAGGTATTTTTTTTTCTTTTTAAAAAACACAAATGATCATAATTATGAATCAGAAAAACTTAAAACCTCTTCCATTTGGTTGTGTTGAGCAATTCTGTCACACGGTGAATACTATAAATGAGAGAATGAATGCATGAATTTGTTACTACATTTAAACACTAGTTTAGCAAGAGGCAGTGTGTATAGTGGGCACAGCACTGGACTAGCAGCCAGATCTGATTCTAGCCCTAGATCCTACATTAACTCACTGGGCGATCTTATGAAGTCATTTTAGATCTCTTAGACTCAATTTCTTCCTCTGTAAGATAAAGAGGTTGGACTAAATGATGTCTAAGGCTGTTTCTAGTGTTGACAGTCTGATTTTACTTCATCATTTTTCAAATACTCATCCATCAGAGTGACAACCTGGTAGCCACCAGCCTTACCTGCATTCATGCCTCTTTAGAAAAGCATGTGTTAGAAGAAATGAATGACTCGCCTTAAAATTACCAAGTGTTTCAGTGAGAGTGCTGGGATTGCAATTCTCTACTCCAGGTATCTTGTTTAAGCTCAACTAAAAATATCTTTCATAATTTTCATCTCTTTATCATTAGTGGAAGAGGAAAACTGAGATTTCTACAGATATTAAAAAAAACAGCAACAAATGTTATAGGCTTTTCAGTACTTTAAGTCAAGTAAAAGTAGTCTGGAGGAAATTGTATGTAGAATTCTTTCTCAAAGATCGCCAAAGACAGAAGTTGTAATCGGGTCTTCTTCCTGCTATATTTCCTGTTTAGGGTGCTATCTGCCTCTTTGAAATCTCATGCTTTTTCTAATGACTTTTTGTCAATTTTCATTACCAAAGAAATATAATATTAAGGATTCACTGATTCAGCAAATCAAATTAGAGTGGTGGCATAACATTTTTAAAAAAGAAAACCAAATAAGACTCTTCTAAGTAGAAATCCCCAAACCACCTCTAAAGATCTTTTAAAGCAATCTTAATTTTATGTTGATAAAGCATTTTAAGATGACTTTTAATATTATCATTTATCACAAAAGGCTGTTAATACATGTTATTTTTTTGAACTTATTTTACAGATGATGAAAGAAATGTCAAACAGACTAAAGAAAAGGAAGACTATATAAGCCCATTTAAAAAGTGATTCAAATGAAGTGACCTTCCTTACATTTCAGAATTATTAGTGGCAGGCTCAGAAGTGGGATATTTAGATAATGATTTTCTATTCCATTGCTTGGATTGGAAAAAAGGCATGCTGATTTTTTTATAATGCTGGAAGTAAAGTCACTGCTGCCGGACAAACCTGTTTTCATTTAGAGAAATGAATGGGTGACCTTTGAACAAGATGCATAGCACCCTGACACTTATAAAAGCACAGTACTTAGAATGCCCTATATCTGCTCATCACATTCTTCCCACTATCAACTTCTGTTTGGAGGGGGAGAGAGGCAACAGTGAGTTCCCTTGGCAGGCAGCATACCTCGAGCAATCTCTGAGCTGGTCAAAAGTAATTACAAAACACTGTCTCGCAAATTTCTAAATTTACTTGGTATCCAGAGGACTATATAGAAGCCTGATAGTATTCTGAAAGGGCAGGTAACCCTGAGCTAGGTATTTCCTTTACATTGTGTTTAAGACTTTCCATTGCTTGAGGCAGCCTGGCCTCTCTGATGACCACACAGTGAAGACACGCACATCTCTAAGAGGAACTTAAGCCAATTGCACAATAGTGTTGTAACTTCCAGCAAGGCAACAGGTCAACCAGTGTCTTATTTACTCAAATGGTTTCTGACAGAGATGATACAGACTTTGTTCTAGCGTAATTCTTCATCCTCCCCACCACTCCACCCCCTATTCTCAATCACCTAACTAACAATGCTTTTATGTAGATAAAATAATGCTTAGCAGCAATGAGATTTTATCTTAAACGGAAACCAGGCTAAAGTACAAAGAGAACTGGGTTCTAGCCTCAGTTCCGCTACCGACTTAGCTTTAGAGAGCCAGGCTAGTCCCTGCAGCTCTCTGGAACTGTTTGCTCACTTATAAAACGAGGGAGTCATTAGAGTGGGGGAATCTATCAAGTCTTCTTTAGCTCTGGAATCTGCCCTGTATTATTTGCTACTGTTCCACACATTTTAAGACTTTTCTTACCAACTTCAAGGAGAAGGGCACAGTGATGAGAAGACACTCAATAGGTAATCGTTAACTGACTGGAAAGTGACCGATCTCTCTTCATATCCATACCCCTTTGAAAGGCATTTTCCAGTTAGGTATTCAGGTCATTTGGCTATTGGGTTGAACAACAGGCCTTGTTCTCAGCTCTACTACCATGAAGATCTATTCCCTTCTTTAGGCCTTACCTTTTTTAACTGCAAATTATAGCTAAGTATGTAGATAATACCTAGTAATTCTGATTATCTAGGTTCTTTGCACACCCCCCCCCCGCCTTTTCACTGGTTTTCTGCTTTTCTAGGTGGTGTAATGGATAAAGTGCTGGGCCTGGAGTCAGGAAGATTTAGTCACTTTCTAGTTGTATGATCCTGAGCAAGTCACTTAACCTGTTTGCCTCAGTCTCCTCATCTGAAAAAATTGAGGGTCACAAGCACGTACCTCCCAGGGTATCTGTGAGGATCAATTGAGATAATAATTATAAAGTTATAAAGCGCTTAGCACAGTGCCTGGCACATGGTAAGCACTACATAAATGTTAGCTATCATCACCATCACCACCATTGTTATTATCACTCATGTGGTCAGGGAACTGGAATGAGGATGAAATCTGAATCATTTTCTTTTGCTTATGAGCAGAAGATATGCTATTCTTGGAGTATTGTATCTTTACTTAATAAATACTAAAAATAGGGCAAATTTGGTTGCTATATCCCCACAAATCTACCTGCTCAAGAGCATGAACTATTCAGTGGAGACTTAATGCATGGGTCCTTAAGTTAGTCCTTGCCTTTTGGCTAGATTTTCATGTGAAAGGGAGGCCCATTTGTTTTGGAGGTCACTTCTCTCCCCAGGCAAGCTCAGATCAATAACTGAGATGATTTAAGGACTTTTGCAAATAAATTTCCAAACTGGATTTTTTTGAGAATTTGGAATAAAACAAAGTAAAAGAAATGAAGCAGAAATTTCAATACTAAGCTACCTTTCCCCACTGGCTTTTATTTGTTGAATAGCAGGGAAAATTGCAAGTAAATTAAATTACTCTTTATTTTTGGCTTTCAGTATTTTCAAAACACCAAATTACTGGCATTGGCACTGTTTCCTTGGGAGTCAAGAGTAAAAGTAAAATAAACCACATTAAACAAGCCCGTTTTCAAAGTCCTTCTGAATTCCTAACGGATCACATTTCATTGGTGTAAATGCACAACTGAAACATTAAATACACTGCAATACTTACAAACAGCAGGAAAACATCAAGCATTATTTTAAACCTGTGTCACTGATCTCATCACAATCCTTCTGACTCAACTCATACACAAGCCTATCCTGTTATCCATTTTGGAAAAAGAACTTTCAGATAATATCTTTGAATTTTTTCCTATCCATATCCTTATATTATGTAATCTGATTTAATTTGCATATTATAACTATAATGTTCTGATGTCTGATTTAAGTGACCAGGTCATATGCCTAAGGAAGTCTATGCAGGACATCCCAAGGACAAGTGAGTACCATATTCACTTACTCTGCTCTTCTTACTGCTGGACATTTTATTCTTGATGTAGCTGAAAGTGCGACTGACTTTTGTTCCACTTTTCTCTTCAAAATCTTTCTTGGAGGGGCTTTGTGGAACAAAGCTAAAAGCCTGTTCAGTTACACTAAAAGAAAAAAAGTCCATTTTAAAAAGGGAAATAATATGTGATCTAAGCATCTTTTTTTTCCATATGATCCTATTTTGTCACTTATTATTTTAACCACAGGTCAAATAACTCATAATCTTATATTAAAAAAGAAAAAGAAACAATCAGATAGTAAAGAAGAGTAAGGGATATTTGCATAAAATGTTTAAAAATTAGGATGGAACAGGCTACAGTGCCCTCTGCTGCTGAGAAATGAATTCCTATTCTCTTATGAGCAATTAATATTTTCGTACTACTGTACTACAATGTAATAACTATTGCATTTATGTCGTACAGGTTTTTTGGGTTTGATTTTATTTTCTTTTCAATCTGGCAATCATAGGTCCAGAGTTAAAAAAATAAAACGTCTATTATAACTTATGTAAAATATATATATTATATTATTATATAACTTGTATAACTTGTTATATAAAATATTATATATAACTTTACATAAAATACTATTATATATAATTTGTTATATAAAAATATAATAAGTCTATGTTAAGTATCCTGGATTTTTCTTTGAGCTAATACTAATTAGGTACTAATTCTAAATAAACGATAGTTTTTGTTGGATTTTTATAGTTTATCCACAAGTATAGTTATATATAAAATACTGACAAGCTTGGCTTCCTCTACTGGCTGTGCTACAAGGAGTTAATTTCAGTTAACTATCAGCCAGGACTGAATCCAAAATCTACAGTCAATGAATTAAGCCTTGATGATAAATGCTGAACCAATTGTATGACAGATTATATAGTAAGCTTCCTGAGGGAAGGGACTGAAATTTGTATCACTGCTTTGTTTACAATGGGTGGAGCTGCTGACTGAAATGACATGTGATCATGGAAGATTTTTTTTTCCTCAGAGTGAGACAACATCATGGTACAGGTTTGAAGAGGGAAATAAGGAATTAAAAGCCAGTTTTTATATGTAGCCGAAATCTTTATCTTCGATATCATCACATCAGATCCATGTCTATCAATAAATGGACTTTTTTACATCCCAGAGCAATTCACCTTGGTTATCCCCCAGTAGAGAATATGGAAAACACAATCCAAAGCAGCAACTATTCTATTTTGAATGGGAAAAAGAAGTATAAGACTACTGCCAAGATGTTCCAAGACACAGAAGAAAAAAAAAAGATTTCAAAGAAGATCAAACAGGAGCACAACGATTTTTGTGTATTAGCAGTGAGCCATTATGGAATCCTCTATGAAAAGGAGATTTTTGTAAAACAGCTAAAGTTATGAAAATATTCTTAATTTTGTTGCATTCAAAACTGTTAATCTCAGTAATTTGAAAATAAGGATTAAAAAGCAAGCAGAAAGAACATTTTCTGTCTTAACTTAATAGTATGCAGTGACGTGTTATATTTTCCAGTGTATAGAAGCATAGCCGTTAGAACTGAGAAATATAAACGTTACAAAGTGGTAAGACCAATGTATTTACATATAATAATTATAGAACAAAAACCTGTCAGACAATTCTCTGCATGAATATTCCCACAGAACCTCACAAAAACAAAAAAATCAAATTTTGAAGACACTCATAGGTTCAAATGCCTCAGAATAAAAAAAATTAAATTAAAAAGAGTTAAGAAAAGGGGAAAATGCTGATGAAATTAACTAAATTCTACTACTGTGAATTATCATCTAATAATACATGTGGCTTGATTAGACAGACAACTGCTTTAAGATGCCAATTCTTCACTGTGTGCCCCAAACTAACCTAACAACATCAGAGTTTCTGCAAACTTATTTCAGCAAAGGGGGTAACAAAAAGAAACATATAATACCTTTCAGTCAAATTAGCACTGGTATTGTGGAAGGGTCGTGAATCTGAAAAAGACACAGGGAAGAGGTTAGAATACAAGATTTCCTACAGTTAATACGACAAAGACAGAGCCAAGGCAGTACTAGGAATTAGTACATTGAGACTCAGTATCTGTTCTAAACATTCACGGGGAAGGAATTAACCAAACTAACCAAAAGAATTCAAACTGATGGCAATGATGAAGAGCGATTACTGTGTACTGTCACCTGTGACAAATGAATGGCAGGGGAAAAAAATACTTTATCAAGAAATGTTGTGATAACTTTATAATACAGATGTTAAAATATCTTCAGAAGACATGAAAACTGTACCTTTTATTTTCCGTAACTGGAAGGACTTATTTCTCTGTTTTTATTGACATTGAGTTTCTTAGAGGGCCACTTGCCAATACTGTAACTTAATCAAAGCAGGAATTAAAGAAACATTTTCTAGTAATATCCATTTGCTTCTGCTCTGTTAATTTTGCTTTGGTAAGCCCTTATATGTTGGAAATAATTTATTTCCCGAGCCTGTCAAGTACCTAGAATTTTAGAAAATATGGACTGGAAAAAAGATTGGACTTATTTATAAGCCACATGGCCTGGTGGTTTTTAGCCTTGCTCTGCCATCAATTAAGACATGTGACTATGGGGAAATTACAACCACTGGACCTCAGTTTTCTCATCTCTAAAACAGTATTCCTTCCACCTTATGATGAGTGAACAAATCATTTTTCCCTTCTCCATAAATGAATCAGGCTAGAAATCAAAGCAGGGCAATGGAACCTCCTAAACTAAGTAAAATAGGAACACACTGAAATCAGAGCAATTAAAATAAATGCAAGCATTATTCCTTTATTACATTTTCAGGGATAATGTGGCAGAAAGGAACATAATCATACAATGCAAAGTATCATTTCAGTGTTTTAATGTTCGGTTGTTTCGATATTTTTGGTATATAACACACTTTTAGTAGAGATAACATGCTCAGCCCACTTGTAATAACGGGATACACCTCTCAATTAGATTTCGAGTAACATTTTACCAACTGAATCTTACCTCACTGTGAATGAAACTGCTTTTCAAAGATTACTTAGGGAAAAACACCACTAGAATCTTGCTAGTCATAATTCTAGTTTCTAACATGCTCTAGGAACTGGATATAAAAAAAAAGAAATGTGGGAATGCGAAGACCCTGTACAAAGAACTTTTAAACCATTTCTAGACACCCAAGAGGTTTTTGTGCACACACTCTGCCTTCCTCCATTGAGGACTTTCCTATTTCAATGATAACAAAATAGTATGAGCAGCAATGTGTTACTGCTGGAAGTACAATGGTTGAAGGGAGAACTAAATCCCACTCCCGGACTCCTGACCTTGCCCCACCCCTGGCTTCACTGTCACCTCTCTGGGCCTCAGTATTCTCACCTATAAAATGAAAGCGGGGAGTTGGAGAACGACCGACTAGATTACATCTAAGATCCTTTCCAGTTCTATCATCATGTCACCAGATAAGTTAAGTAAGCAGCATTGTGGATTGGTTTATAATTTTATTTTGGAGGCATTAAGTAGCATTTAATATGCTGGTGGATCTTTTTCTATTTTTGATAATGACACGGTTGTGTGCCATAAAAGTGTAACTACTCTGGAGAAATCTTGGTTTCAAAAGATCTTGAAAATGAATGTTAACTAGATTGTCACAACTGACTGTGCATGAAACTTTTTTTGGTGGTAGTGGGGGAGGATTTGCCTAAAGTTGTACAACTATTAAGTGTGAAAGCTAGGATTCCAAACAGGGTCTAAAGAAAGGTAGAACAAAATAGTAATAGCAGGTATGTATCACTTCTAGCTTTACAAAGGGCTTTACATATATTTTCTCCATCAAGCCTCACAACAACTTTGTGAGGAAAGTACTATCAATGTTCTCATCACAATTTTGCAGATTAGGAAACTGAGACTCACTGGGAATGTAAGTGATTTGCCCAAAATTACACAATTATTATTAAGTGTGAAGGCTAGGATTCCAAATAGGGTCTCTAATGGCCCAAAGTTTAGTGTTCTTTCTACTATAATAAACTGCAATCTTTAGTAAAGAAGACTTATGGAATAATCACTGTTATCAGCCTCTGCCACATATACACCTCCACCAGCACTTTTTTCAAACTCTAAACTCCCAATGACTAAAGTCCTTAACTAGGAGAAAGACTAAGTCAGTGATTACCAGAGAAAGAAAAACAAATTATCTTACAAGAAAATTCTGTCGATAGAGAAATTTGAATAAGTCTGGATGATATTTAAATAATGCTGAAATTTAGGGTGAAGAGCAAAACAAATCACTTGACTCAAACTGAAAGTCTTTTATTAAATTACTTTAAATTATGAATGGGTTCTCTCAAAGAAAAGTAATCTTAGTATATTACAAACAGAATTTTTGCAACAGAGGAAATAACCATTTACACCTCTCTTAAACAATCTATAATGAGACTCATATGAGTAAAGTGGATTCCTCCTAATTCACAAAGTCTCCTAACAATCTGAGGCCTTGTAAAACCTATCAACTATGTACTATCAGGTATCTATTTACCTATCTGTAAGCTACAGCTTACCCACAGGACTAAAAAGAAAAACAAAACAAAACCAAAGTTTTGAGAGAGAAAAGGGAAAAAGCAGCAGGAGGAAAAGAAAAATATACACTTAACAATTCAGTGGTTTGATCCCAGAGCTAAGGTACTTTTCTTGAAATGGTCTCATGATGGGAAGGGAAAAAAGCCTATATTCTCACTATGGGGAAAAAAAACCATTATAAGGGAAGGTGAACATTTTATTATTTTATATGGTTGAATAAAAAAAGAACACTTCTGTGTATTAGTACTTAGGATTAGAAATAAAAACCAAAGGACATTTAAAATTTACTTATTCCTCAATGTCTTTGGCGGTATCTGGGGTTTAGGGAGGATCTTATTCCCCAGAACCTCAGAATGCCATGAAATCAATGAGCGATGGGATGAACACCAGGACTCTGTTTCATCTAATTTACAAAGTAAAGCATGAAAACAGGCGGCTTAGGTAAACTTCCAGACTACACATGCAAAGGACAGGGTAAAGGCTAAGAGAGCTCCTACTGTTTGCTACGTAATGCAACATCTACAGCACTGACAAAGACAGCCACTCCCTGCAGAAGAGCTGCTGCACATTCAAGTTGCTTACTTACTATGCAACTTCTCCTCTTCATCACTGGAAGAAGAGCCAAGAGAAAAGACAGTTTTAGACTTAAGGAGAAGTGGAGAGATGCTGACGGAGAAGGAAATCCTTCTTGCTGGCTGTATCTGCTCCTGGGCCTCTGAGGAGTGGGTTAACAGAAGATATTACAGCATGCGTAAAAACATGCAAAAAAAAAGAGGTAACTAAAAAGCACATCCAAAAAAAAAACTGCATGAAGTCTGAAGTCCAGGTAATTTAAAAAATGGCAGTGGAGGACAAAGTGTGTGTGTGCATGTGTATGTATGTTCTTTTTTTCCTGAAATCCAAGGTCAACCTTTTCCTAGGAAACATTATGAAGGGATGGACTCTCACTGCCTGAATTTTTTTAAATAGTTACACAGTGGTTCACAACCTGGGGCAGGGGTCTATACGCTTTTTTAAAAAAATATTTTAATAGTTATATTTCAAAATAATTGGTTTCCTTTTAATCCTATGTCTTCTATGCAGTTAAAAACATTATTCTGAGATGGAGGCTATAGGTTTCACTAGACTGTCAAAACAAATCAATTGTTAGTTCATGATACTAAAAGGTTAAGAAACTCTGAATTCCAGGTTTCATTACGGGGACATTTCTCCATTCTTTTACTTAAAATTCTGCTCAGCAGGGTGCTCTGTTATCTACTAAGCATTTGCAAGAGAGTGAGGAAGAAATAAAGTCTCAAGGCAGAAAGACTAAGGTTCTTTGGGGCCAAGCAAAGTTAGAAAATGTAGCTGAAAATGCAAATCACACATAGGTTATATTAGAATTAAAAAGGAAAATCTCATTTCATGGAACACTAAGCAGTTAAGACTAGTGTGATCATTTGTAGGCACATGGAGAAGTTAAAAAGTATTTTAAATAGTGTTAATTTGAGAACGGTTTGCTACATGGCACTCTCTAAATTGGACTTACCTCTTTCCTTTGGAAACTGTTTATAGTCTATATGCATTTTACATGTTTTCCACTCCATTCCAAATGTATAACACAAATGTATGTAGCTATACATAAATATATAATTTACATATGCATACATATACACATGTGTATATATAAACACATGCACGCACACACAAAAACATGTATTATTGTCTATGCGCAGGTATGTTTACATATGCATGTATACATACCTACACATATACATAAACAGATATATAAAATCTCGCCTTAAAGAGTTTTCAAGGGCGAACACTTGTTTTTCATTGCTTCTACACAGTTATCAATGCCTACATCTTCCAATTCTTCATGTAACTAGGCTAAAATGAAATAATCTGATCATTGAATACATTGCATTTATTGATGTAAAAACAGAAAAAGACTGACATTAAAATTCTCATAAGGTTTGGTATCTTTTTAAAAGGGCTCGCTCCGATTTCTTGACCTAAAGGCTGTTATTTTTATTGTGTTTGTGTATATGAGTGGCTGGCATATATTCTATGTAAATAAGATGGTTCCATTTTTGAGACAGATTTAACTGAATCAGCTAGTTTTCACAGCTTGATAACTGTGGTACACATTACAGTTACCAACTAATGTACCCATCCATCAAAACACACATGAGGAACTTTACAAGCTCCCACCTACCACCAACTATATGTAAACAACCTCTCAACACGAGCCCTGTTTGAAAACTGTGCCTCATACAAGGATAAACCAAAGATTATCAGAAAAGGAAAATTATGAGGGAGAGAATAAATCTGGTTAGGAAACAAACTGTAAAGATATGCAGTAACAGTAGTATTAGTAGTAGTATTAGTATTGTTGTAGTAGTAGTAGTAGCAGCAGTAGTAGTAGTAGTAGTAGTAATCACTAGCACTTACAGAGACCTCTAACATGCCTTACATATTATCTCACTTGATGATGCTTATAATGATAGCTGACCTTCACACAGGTGTACCCAAATTCTTGAGACTTTTAGGACAACCTGTGGGATGCTTTAAGGTTTGACAAGTTCTTTGTTCTCTCATTAGATCCTCACAACAACCCTATGAGATAGCTGCTGTTATTTTTCTCCATTTGATGGATGAAGAAACAGAGGGTAAGAGGTGAAGTAACTGGTCCAGGGTAGTCTGAGGCAAGATTTGAACCTGAGGTCAGCCCTTAATCCACTGCTTTGCTGCCTCTTCTTCTTGTTTTTTAATTTTTAAAAATTAAAAAAAAATTATTTTATTTTATCTCAAATTTTTAAAATTTATTTTGCTGTCCCTATGGTCGACAATGTTTTCTTTTTAATGCTAATCATGAGTCTGTATAAGATCATAGATCACGAGCTGGAAGAGAATTCAGAATTCACCCTTTTACAGATGAGGAAACTGAGGCCCAGGGAGCTTACATAACTTTCCCAAGGTCACACAGGCTATAAGCATCAGAAGCAGGATTTAAACCCGGTTGATTTGACTTGAAGCAAGGGCTCACAACACTGCCAGGGTCATACAAAAAATTAGCAGCATATCTATTGTTTAAGAAGGCATAGCTGTGCTCAAGGACAAATAACGGGGAGTTTTACTGTCTGTCAACGGCATCACCTGAAAAAACCCAGATGGAGGGCGTGGGGCAGTGATAAACAGGACTGCTAGACTTTGAGTCAGAAGAGACCACAATTAAATTCTTAACTCTGACAGCTATGAGTTCTGCTAGCTTGGTCAACCAAGTCATTGAACTTCATTTTTCACTAAGCTGCACTCACTAAGGATATCTCCATAGTGCCCCGGAAACCTCTTCATCGTAGATCACTTCAGCCCTAGAACTCAGATGTCTGTGGCCCCTCCCTCTGACTGAATGGTTCCCTTGGAAATCCAAAATAAAGACGGTGCCCAGGACACTCATCTCGCTGTTTCTCACCCGGCTACCCTCACTATGGATTCCTATATCACGCTCTAGAAACATGCTGGAAGACCCCATGCCCCAGTATTCCCTGTCCCCTCCACCCCTGCCAGCCTTCCAGCTTTCTTCTTACATCTACCCTTTCCTCCATCACCACCTCCCATTTGGAAGTTCCAAGTTGTTTGTATTTGCATTCCCAGGGCTTGGTATAATGTCTGGCACATCGTAGGTGCTTAATAAATCCTTGTTGACTAACTTCTCAGTCTCAGTTGCCTTATCTGAAAAATGGGGATAATAGTACTTGCAATACTTACCACCTACCTGGGTGTCAGCTGTTATTTTATTACCCTTCATATGCCCAAAGTGAAACAAAATAATAATAACAATTATAATAATAATAACTAACATTTATATAGTGCTTTAAGGTTTGCAAAGCATTTTACATATACTATCTCATTTGGCATCTGCCTATTCAGGAATTTCTTTGAACGCTGAGAGACAAAAGCACTCTCTGTTGAAAGAAAAAGAAATGCTGAACACATTTCCTGAAGCAGTTTCTAGGTGGAAGTTCTCCAGGACATTATCCCACACAATTTAGGCAGCTTCCTTTCTAGTATGATTTCCTAGGAAATTTGTCTTTGGATAAACAAAATGTAATCATCCTGCTCTCCACAGAACAGTCGATTAAAGATCTGATTATGGACCATCACTCTTTCCCTGCCCTTTATGGTTCCTCAGTGATCAGTGTGGTTTTTTTCATGGCAAATTGTATAGAAATATTTTAGTCACCCCATTTGCACAGTATTTTCCTCTACATCAAGAGCTTTTTGAAAGAGATCCTGGGCTTGAAATAATGCTACAAGTCTGTGCTTTCCAATTTGGCTGACTCCCTAACTAGACGTTCCAGACAATAGCTCAGCTGAGACACACTAATTTTCAGAAGGGCTCAAGTGTTAACAGTTCTCAAAGAGCAGGGTGTGTGTCAGCCATTTTCTTCAGAAGGAAGCAGACATGGTTAGGACAACAAATCAGAAGTCACCGTTACAAGGGTAATTTTAGAAAGAATTCTGTTCCTAAACAATAGTGCTCATAATGAGACACAGTCATTGGGAAAAAGCCTCTGGCCAACATTCTTCATTTCTTTATAATTGTTTAACATGTGGTCAGAGAAAAATGAATCATATAGGCACTGCAGCAATTAAGAAAATTATTTTTCACTGGGAATCACAAGACCAAATCCTTCATATTGAATTTACTTGCAATAACCTATCCATCATAACATCTGAAGTATCATTAATACTTAGTCTTCTCAAGAACCCAATCTGCCCTTAGGCTTTAAAGGCAATTTACATATTTTAATTGTGTCACAAGCAGTTAGGTGGCACAGTGAATAGAGTGCCAGGCCTGGAATCAGGAAGACCAAAGTTGAAATCCAGCCTCAGACACTTACCAGCTTTGTGTGACCCTAGGCAAGTTACTTACCCATTTGTCTCAATTTCCTCATCTGTAAAATGAGCTGGAGAAGGAAAAAGCAAACAACTCCAGCATCTTTGCCAATAAAACCTCCAAATGGAGTCACTAAGAGTCGGATACAACTGAACAACAAAATTATGTCACAAACACCCACCTAAAATATTATCATATGCCTAGACATGGAGGTACAGAGTGTTTAAGTGTTTTGGAAATGTGAGCTTCGTGTGCCAGTGGCAAATTAAAAAACAAACAAAAAACTGTTTGGTCTTCTATTCTGATGCCTAAGGCATATTACCCTTTAATTTGAGTTTTGTTGTTCTACTTAAAGTCAGAATTCTAACTATCTCCACAAGGGCTTATTTTTTCAGATCAAAGCACACAACATTGTGATCAGTCAGGAAAACAAGCTAACAAGTAACTAAATGTGTATATGTATGTGTGCTAAAGGTGAAAGAGATGGTGGTGGGGAGGGGATGAGAGGGAGCTGGAGAGGTTAGGAGTTGAGAGATAGAGGAAGGATACACGAAGGGGTGACCTATTGTTTAATTATAGTAGCCAGTAAAGGAATCATGATAAAAAAAGAAAAAGGCTAGTCAAGACATTTATGAACTAATCATTCAAGCCTGGGTAAAAGTGAGTAGTGTGGGCCACATGGTGGGAAACAACTTTTGATAAAACAATTAAAATCTTACTCGAAACTCAGCTATTGATGGCAGTCTGCTACTCTTTCAATTCCCCCGGTGAGCCTAAGCAGAAAATTTCCCAGCAACAGGAAGAAAAGATATATGTTGCCAGGAACTGTGGCACTGACTTGAGTTCATTTTCTGGGAGTTAACTGTGTTATTTATAGTGTTTGGTTAGAAACTGAAGACCTGGCCAAAAAATTGTTTTGCTTTTTTGGAAGAAAAATAATGAAGTGTTTCAGCTATGAAGGGAAGAGAGTGTCACATAATATAGGATAAAAGATATTCTCCTTACTGGATGTGTCCCAGTGTTGTTTCTGTTGCTAAGAGGCCCTATCCATTAAGACCATATGCTTGTTAGTCATAGTGACAGCAAAGCGCTAAAAAATCTGACTTATAGAGTTCTGACAACAAGGTTCTCTCTCCTTGTTAAGCTCTAACTATTCAAATCCACCAAAGCTGCTGTAAAATTACTCATTTATAACGTTAGGGTAAATGCCAAAATAAAGACCCCCCCCCCAAGAAATGGCCCTTCTAATATAAGTTGTGCCATTATGTCTATATTTTTGAGTGGACATTTTTTTGATTTCTTGGATTTGCCAACAGAAACAGTATATCAAAAGGGCAAGACTAATGTCTGAGTTATCTATCTGAAAATGAACAAAATGCAAGCTCACTATGAAATGTACTGTGGAAAGAGGGAATAGCTCTCCAACTGACTCATTCTTTCTCAAATTAATTTTCAGGTATTTATTGAGTGCCTGTTACAGGAAAGGCACTGTGCTAAAAATGTTTCAGGGGGCAGATATGACATAGGTCTTGCTCTCAAAGAATCTGCCATCTACTAAGGGAGTAAGACAAGAACAGAAATAACTACAAAGCAGCTCAGCTAACATAAAGAGACTAATTCTGTCACAGAAAAGTGAAGACCTTTTAATCCCTCACCAGTCTTGGTACTATTTAACTACTACTTGGTACTACTTCTTTGGCTCAACTTGATGAATCCCCTCAGAAACCTGAAATTTCATTTACCTGGCACTCTCTCTACCTTCCATGAAATAAGTGGACATCATTTTGCATTCTAGATTTTAAAAATTCCCCCTTTGGATTCTCTATCTGTTAATTACTAAAAGGTAGGGGCCATGACTGTTTTGCTGTCACTGAAGGAATGCTGGAGTATACTAGTTTTACTCTAAGTATTATATATGCACAAAAAAGATTTTTCATTGTAAATGGCCTTGAAATGGGATAGGGGATAGGGACTGGAGCTTTAATTTCACTGGTATGAAGAACTTTTGGATGAACAAGTACCTGCTACGAATGCAGGCCAGAGCTTTTCTGCAACTTAAAATTTGGGAGCACCAAGAAGTTGCCTCAAGTCATAGAACCAGTATTTGTCATAGGTGGAGCTTGACAGTTCTCAATCTGCTATTCCATTCTTCCTCTCTTCAAGAAAGTGGGATAAAAACTCAGAGGAGCTCCTCAAAGCTCAGGTTGTCTTGTAGATGATCTTAAACGAATTGCATTGCTACTTAAATCCTGAAACTATATAGATCTATACATGGAATTATTTTTATAATAACCACCTTCAAATGCAGCAGTATGGAGATACCTTAACTGAGAAAAAACTATCTTAAGTTTTATCACCAGCACTGGCTACATTAGAACTACAGGCAAGGGAAATTCTCAGGTCTGGGTAGGAACTACGTAGGCATTTATCTATACAGCAGTGACACTTACAAAGGTCAGCTGTTTAAAGATGGAATATCAGGCAGAGAAAAAGAGAAAAACTACAAGGTTTCAGAAGGTGATGCCGTTAGACTTTTAAAGAAAAAAAAAAGTGGTTGAAAAACTGTATACTTACTGTCCAGTCCAGGATGGCTAATTGTCATTAAGGAGATGGATTTTGTCAATGGAGAAGAAATGGCTGATGTACAATAATTAAACCCTTGTTGCTTGGATCTCTGGTGTGGCTGTGAAGCAGAGCACAACAGTATGTTCTGAGTACCAATGCTGTTACTTCCCATGACAATTTATGGTTCAAACAGGGCTACTCAAAATTAACATAGTCAGAATATACTACAAATGGAAAAGGAAAATATCTGGAAGGAAATAATTCTTAAAAATAAATTTCTATTTATGCAAAAGGAAAAATAAAAATGGCATGTTTAGAAATGTCCACTTTCTTTTCTCTCTCCTTTATTTGCTTTACCTTCTACTAGCCTATAAATTGCATATGGAGTTATTTCTCATTTCTTAGAGAGAGGTTCCCTTAGGAAAAATCTTATTTCTCCTTTATTCTCTTCTTTTCCAATGCCTAACACAGTGTCTTGAAGCAGTAAACCGTACAGTAGGAGTCAATGAATAATGAATGACCAAGGAAAACACTCAGAAGTAATAATATGACATATTAAAATATATTTATTTATATGCTTTGATAAGCTAAAAAATAAAAATAACAAGCATTTTTAAGCACGTAGTATATCTCGGAGATGATGCTAAGTGCTGGGGGCACAAAAAAAGGGGCAAAAAACAGTCCCTGACCTCAAGGAACTAATAAATCAAATGGGATGGGTGGTAGAGGTGGTGGTGGTGGGGAGATAACAAATAGACACCTATGTACAAATAAGATATATAACAGACAAATTGGAGATAATCTCAGAGGGAAGGTATTAAAATTAAGGAGGAAAGGCTTCTTGTATAAAGTAGGATTTTATCTGAGACTTAGAAAAACCTTATAGTCCCATGTTCTTAAAATATCATTTATTTGGAATAGGTTAAAAGCAAAGAACATCTTCATTTCATAGAAATTAAAAGTGAGGCACATGGAAGTTTAGAATGGCCTAGCTATTATCATAAAGTAAGCTGAATTGGGAAATAAAATCTGAACCTCTTAATTCTATCTGAAAATTAGTCTGTCCTATCACGAAATAAAGCTAACTGACTTTGATGAGTCTCTAACTCTTTGGCAGAATCAATGAACGTTAGTATTGGAAAGTACCTCTGAAGTTGCCTAGTCCAAATCTTCACACATAATGTAAGATTCTGTAGTATGACACCACTGACAAACAGTCATTCAGCCCCTGCTTATATTCCAGTAATGCAGAATGCACTGCTTTTTAAGATAGTCCATTCTATTGTTGGATGTTTCTAAATTAAGGTAAAGTTCTTAGTCATACTGGGCCAAAATCTGTCTCCTTGCAACTTCCTCCCATTAGCAATCTACTCTGCATGACAGAAATAGAAGAAATCCATTCCTTTAATTTCTCACAGAATATATCTCACCCTATTTATGTTATGAAACCTAGGACAAACTTAAACTATAGTTTATTTGAAAGGTGATTTTAATGAAAGTGAAACAAAGGTATAATCAATACTGAACTTTTCTTAGAAGTGACTCAACCAAATGCACAAGGAGAGGGTATAAGTGGCATAAGCATCCTTTGATAGACAAGAAAAGGCTGTCCCCATTTGCCAACAGATTAGTAGAGAGGGCCATGCAAGCCAAGATCAATAATTCAATGTAACTTCAATTTTTTTAAAACTAGGAGACCATGTTAGAAAGAGTTACACTTTAAGGATAATAGATATCTAGGTCTAATACAGTCCTTATTGAAAAGAAATAGTCACTCATCAAATTCATAGAAATATCCATTTTAGAAAAGGGATTGTAATAGTTAGAAAATTAAAATTTTCTAATTTCCCAACCCAATTATCTTTTCCCCTTCATTTTTCTGTTTCTTATTATCACTAGGTCAAGTTAAATATAATAAACTGTTTCAAGTGAATATACTCAAAACCTAGCCTTACAAATACAGCTTTCAAAAAAAAATTAAGACTATGACATGTAAAATAATGGGCACAATCTTAAAATTATTTTAAGTCTACAGATTGATTTTCAGTAGATACACTCTAATTTCTCTAAGGCTCTGCACATAATCTCATGTGCTTATTCTGAAGGCTGCATTTATGAAATGTAAATGCAGGACTAAAGAATTATATGAAACCTTTGACCCTGGGCCTTTAAAAAGCTTAAAAAAAGTAAAATGAATCAAAAGTGCCATGCACAAAAATTCAGGCATGAAGAGCAAGAACAGGTAATTATGACAGCCTCTCTTGTTTCTAATCTTACTACTCAAATGAAACTTTTCTCTGCAAATTTTCTAATAATACTGAATCTGATTATATTTCCTCAGTTCTCAATCATCTTGACTTCTCTATAGTATTTGGCAGTGTCAGCCCCTTCTCCTCTCTCTTCTCTGGTGTTTCGTGACACTACTCTCTCCAGTTTTTCTCCTACATAACTAATCACTTCTTAACAAAAGCTCTTTCCTGAATCTACTTTTCTCCCCCTATATCTCTTGGTGATCTTATTGGTTCCCATGGGTTTAATTATCATCTCTATGCAGATAACACTCCTGAGCTCCAGTCTCACATTACCAACAACCTATTGAACATTTCAAATTCAACATGTCTAAAATTGAACTCATTATCTTTACCCTCTTTCAGTTTCCCCTATTTCTGCTGAAGGCACCAATATCCTTCCAGTTTCTCAACTTCATAATCTTGGCATTATTCTGGACTACTCACTTTCCCTCACCCCACATATGCTAAATCATAAATTTAGCATTACTAAAACAAAAATCATTACACCCTATACTGCCCCCCACCCCCAACCCACACCTCTTCCAAATTTCCTTATTTCTGTTGATGACACTATTTTCAATTTCCTTCCTATTGTCAAGGCAATCTTACCATTTTCCTTGACTCTTCCACTCTCCCTTACCCCACTCCCATATATGCAATCACCTGCCAAATCCTGTCACATCAACCTCCAGAGGCTCCTTTTTTTTTTTAAAGGCAATTGGGGTTAAGTGACTTGCCCAGGGGCACACAGCTAGTAAGCGTCAAGTGTCTGATCTGATACTGGATTTGAACTCAGATCCTCCCGACTTCAAGGCCAGTGCTCTACCCACTGCGCCACCTAGCTGCCCCGAGATGATCTCTTGCATCTGTCCTCTTCTCACTACTCAAAAATTTATTTAGAGGCAGATAGTTGGTACAGTGGATAGAGCTGCCAGGCCTGGAGTCCAGAAGACTCATTTCCCTAAGTTCAAATCTGGCCTCAGATACTTACTAGATATGTGACCCTCCTCAAGTCACTTAATCTCACACTCTATATTCAAGCCAAACTGCCCTACTTTCTGTTCCTTATAGATGACAGTACAACTTCTATCTCTGTCCCTTTATACATGCTATTCCCTGTGAGTGAGATAAATTTTCTCCTCATTTCCACCTTGTAAAATCCCTTTCTTCCTTCAAGACTAGGAAAAGTCTTTCCCAATCCCTTCTGGTGCCCTTCCTATTTATTTGTATATACTTTTATATGTGTATGCTGCTTCATCTGATATAAATTCCTTGAGAGAAAGGACTATGTCCTTTTTGTCTCTGTATCTTTGCCACCTGGCACCTAGTAGGTACTAAATAAATGCTTGTAACCGAGTCTATTATTTAAATTAATAATGTTTTATTGGTAGGGTGAGTAGCACAGACAGTCCCCATAATTCTTACACTAAAACAAAAACTGTAGTTTTTTAAGCTGTGGAGAGTATAGTGATGCAACTACAAGCCAAGAAGATCAAGAACGTAGACTTTTTAAAAAAAATCAATGTCAAAAATTTCTTTATGTAATTTAAAAAAAGAACATGAACTTACAGCTCCCAAGTCAGAAACAAGTCAACAAACATTTATTAAACATTTACGATATAACAGGGGCATGCAAGAAGCTATATACAAAAATACACAGAGAATGAATTAGAGGTAATCTCAAAGGGAAGGCACCAGCATTCAGGGGAAAAAGGAAAGGCTTCTTGCAGAGGGTAAGGTTTTAGCCTAGACTTGAAGGAGGCCAGGGAAGCCAGGAGATGGAGAGGAGGATGGAGAGACTTTTGGCCCAGAGGACAGCCAGTGAAAAAGTAGAGTCAGGAGAGGGAAGTACAAAGAGAGGCCTTGAACAAATAACTTAATGTTGTAGTGCCTATATTTTTTACCTCCTACTTGGGGGGAAAGTAATTATAGGATGATGAAAAACTAATAATGGTTTCTAAAGCACTTTAAGGCAAAAGAAATGAGCCTCTGAGGTGTGAAGAATTACCACCATATCTGGTGGTGAGGGAAAGCCTCCCAGAGCAAGGAGAGATAGCCTTAAAATCATAGCCACTTTCCTAATTAAAGGAGACCTTGACAGGCTACTCAACTATATGTAAATTATAGCCTAGAGTTACCATAATCAGCAAAGTTTTAATGTACTGGGTTCTATCAAGTAGAACAGAAAAAAACTCTTATCCTTAGGCAGCAAACCTCCTTTCCATTTTGGTCCCCACTATCAAGTTAGCTGTGGAGTAATAAAACACATATTCCTAAATTATCTTCGCAGAGCTAGAAATAGTCTTACCTTATGGTCAAACATGCTGTGCTCTCTCTGGTCTGCCTCCAGGTCCTCTTCAGTGAGTGACACCAAAGAGTCACCACGTTCCTCGCCACTGAAGGGGCTTTGCCTCAGCTCTTTTGAGCTTGCATCCAAAGCTGAGGATGGCTTACTGCTGTCCCCAGCTCCTCCAGATAGGCCTTCTAAACTGAAACTGAATGAGGGTCACAAAAGTTAATCTCTGAACCTTAAAAAAGAAGACACCCAAAATGCATGTGCCATTTCAGGTGGCCACTACTAATTAACCAATCATTCTTTTGATGTTTGTTGGTATGTTAAGCATGAAGCTAGACTGCAGAGGGTACCCCTCCAAAGCACTGGATAGGGTGCAGGATACCTCTCCCCACTTAAGTCTCCTAATTTGTTTTATTCCTTGTCTAATCCATCCAACGCCATAAATAAAGCACTTGAAAAGGGATGGTTGAATGAAGGAAGCCCAATTCACTAATTTTTTGTTCTGCCAATAGAGTTTATCTTTTGGCTCATAAAGCAGTCACTGTAAAAGAAGTTCTATATGATTCAATGCATACCCTTCGCTTGGATCTACTGCCCTGTTAGTAGATAAGTTACCAAAAATGTGGACACCTGCATCAGTAACCCTCAGCAGCCAAACATGGCAATGTGGCTTTGTGTTCTAAATGTATTACTCTAGAAATAACCTACTAATTTTTCAGACACAACTCATCATGGAGGGGTTACAATCTGTATCAATAAAGGGCATACACACCAAAAACAAATTTAAAAAATCAGAGATATGCCAGAAACCAATATAGACGATTTACAGTTTAGCTGACAAGCACGTGAACATAATAAATATATTTTTGTTTCCTTCCCAAACAAAGACAATATTGCTGAGGAATTAAAAAAAAACAAAACAACACACAGATTGGGCCAGCCAATAACAATGCTGTAGGTTCCTGGGAACTGTTAGTTGCAGACAGACACATACCACCTTGAAAGCAAAAGCTGCTAATCACCTTTGGTAGAAAGTTATCACATTGGGCCTTTACTTTTACATTTTACCATTGGCAAAGGAGAAGAAAGATATACTTAGGAGTTTTGATATTCTGAATAGGAGTCAGGAGCCAAATATTTCATTTTGGGGAGTCCAGGATATTTTTTGTATCTAGAAAATGTCTCATAATTAGCTTATTCCAAACTTATTGAGAATGGGGAGAAAAGTAATTTTTTTTTTCCCCTGAGGACTAAGCCAGAAAAATAAGAGAAATTCACAAAAAATACAATGGAAACTTCCATTAAGATAAATCACTATGTCTGATTTTGTAGGTAGTAACTGACCAAAAAGTTCTAGATTAGAACTCATTGTCTAGGTTTGATTTTGCCCAGGAATACTTCTACTCAAGAATCACTATACATAAACCGTGTGTGTGTGTGTGTGTGTGTGTGTGTGTGTGTGTGTGTGTGTGTGTGTGTGTGTGTGTGTGTAAATGTATGTTAAGTAAAAGTTCACCAGCTGAGAAGTGTTTTAAAATAAATCATTTATCTTGTTACATTGTCTACACTATCTAGAACACGAACCAATTAATCTTCCTAAACACCAATGTAATCATTACCAAGAGCATTCTCACTAATATTCTGAGAAATGTAAATAGGCTGAGGATAAAAGTAGAGGTAATGATTCTTCACTGGATAGAAATTTTAAAAGCTTAGGAATCTGTGGTCGCCAGAAAGCTTAATTTTGATGTTATTTTGACAAATAGTTGGCTACTTATGAAGGAGTAAAATAGGTCAATGGACTAGAGGTAAGACTGTGAAATTAAATGCCCATAAAAGAAATCAATGAATTTGGGAACAAAATAGAACCACATTTCATTTCCTTTCTTGGCTCCTCTCATTGTTAATCTTTCAAACTCCTAAGGATCTTGGTGTTAGAACAAAGAAAAAAAAAGCATTCTAACCACGGCCACACCAACACATTTTTCTTAGATAACACCAATTCTAAAGCCACTAAGGACACACAGATTGCATTCGACTAATTTTCAACTCCAGAGCCTCATACCTACAATGAGGTCAGCGATGCCAGGAAGAGAGGAACATATCCCTCAAGGAATGCGAGTGTTCATAGAAAAAGCAGGCTTGCTTATACACATTCCAGCCACTGCAGAACTCCAAGCCAAAAGCCAAGACTTTGCCACACTTTACAGTGCCCCCATTTGGCTGCTGGACATGTAATGATACCATACCTTCTACAATTAAAGTCAGCACTCAGGGCAGCAGAGTATTGTACGCCAGAGGGACACCAGCTCATACTAGGGATATCAAAGGCAGAAAAAGAGAAGTGGGGAAAGACCAAGGGTGTACAGACATTACTAAATTGCAAAAGAAAGGAGGATAGTTAGAGACAGCCTAACAACTAATTTTGAAAAAAGTTTGGGAAAGTTACCTTATTCTAAAGATTTAGAAAAGATAGACTGACAGACTTTGGGACTTAATTTCTTTACTGATTGCCCAAAGAGAAAGTGCTGGCAACTGTGTAAGCTCCTACAAAGAAGTATATCAACCTGAACTATGGGGGAGAGATTTAAATTCTACGGCCATCATTTAAGGCTAAAAAGCAGCCCAATGACACAAAATAAGATTAGCACTTGGTATGCTGCACCTCACGAGGCAGTCATCTTGTTTTATAGGGTTTTATAAAGCTAGGATAGAATTTTTATTGCTGAATAATAACTGACCATGCCACCACTCATTCTCATCAGACTAACTTGACATATAAATTTCATATAATATTTACAAGACTTTTTAAAAAATGAATTATGACAACCTTTTCTTAAATAGGAAAAAAAAAGGAAGCCTGTGTTTCAAATATGTCTGCTAAAGCTCAAGCATGCTTCTATGTCCTCCATGCAACCTTGTCCTAAAAATATTCTTTCTTTCACAAAGGTAAAAGAGAATTTAATAACTTAGTAAGTTCCCATCCTAACCCAAAGAGCAGGGACAGAAACAGGGTGATTAGAATACAAAGCAAACATAGTAACAAGAATCAATGGCCAACTCAACAAATAAATATTCAGTGAGAAGGCAAGTTAATTCACAGTCTACCTGTCAAGTTTTGTTTTTTTGTTTTTTTTAAAGAACAAATCTCAACAATTTTTTTTACCTTGATGTGTCTAGGGGTAATTTAGGAAGCTGTTATTTTCAACAAAAAACAAAAAAAACCCCAAAAAACAAAAACTGTTGCTGCCTGAGCTTTCAAAGGTCCTCTGAGCGACATTCTTGTTTTGGAAGGTAGATGGATATGGACAGCTCCCAAGTAATTGATCTTAAAGTTCATTTAAAGAGAAAAGGGACATGAATACAACATATTCAGTCCATATTTCTCACCTGAATTCTACAAAGGTAGGTGAGAAAGCTGGAATATGCTAGCAGCTAGTGACCAAAGCTTCTGACCAAAAATGAATGACAGTGAATTTGTCTTGGGGAGCAATATTGATGACAGGAAAGGGGGTAGAGGCAGAAGGAGACAATATTGAGAAGAAGAAGAGAGTAATCACTTTCCTCACAACTCTGTGAAATAATTAAACTGAAACAAAATATCTTTTAAATCAGATTAAATTTGTAATAAAAAAAGCTTGAGACTACAAAGGCCTCAATTGTATTAAAAAAGAATGTAAAAAAAGAATGAGTAGGATCTAATATTTTCTCTACATACATGATAACTCAATCTCTGACATTAAAAAAATGAATTTTCATCATCAAAACATGTTATCACTATAATTAGTGTATTCTTTTCAGGTACACCTCATTTAATGCTAACAATATTCAGTGACTTCAAAGGCTCGAGACATATGGATTTCAGGAAACCTTGGCTATTTTAAACCTCAAAAAGTATATAATACATGTGCTAACAAGTCACATGTTACAAGCTGAACTTATATACAAAGATTTCTTCTGTCTTTTTGCTATATACCAAATTTTTCCTCTCTTTCATGTCTACATATGCTACCTGGAGTTGCCACATTTGCAAACAGACTATATTCAGGGACCAGTCTCCTATGCTATAGCCAAGTTCTTAATTCACACTTAATGAATACCTATTTATAGAAAGCTTCCCTGACTTATGAATCAGATAGGACCAAAGTATTTGAAATAGCAGTAGGTCTCTCAAAAAATAAACAAAAAACAAATGTCCCACAGGAAAAAAAGGTCAAAGAAGAAGATGTGCACTGACTAGCTAAGATAAAACTACAAGAGAAGTTATTATAACCCAAGGACAGACTACTAAGAAAACTTAACTTTACATTTGGAAACAAACCTCATATATAAAACCTGGAATTAAAAGAAACTTTCATTTGAAAAGCAAGGGAAAACATGAGTGTCAATCTCTAAAGATGACTTCAGCTGAGTTTCACAACATCTCCTTAAAAATGCTGGCAAACAAGCTTGTTTACTAAGATCAATAACCACCCCTTTTAAGGAGCTTAATGTTTACCAAACACTAGTGGAAGATTCCATGAATTAAAAATTGTAGAGGAAATGTTGTTATATCTCCCTTTTAATTCTGCAAAGCAAATTAAGACCAACAACAAAACCCAAAGCAAAGCAAAACAAAACCTACTCCTCTATTCCTAAAGCTGGAAATGTGAAAAGGCTGAAAAAAACCCCCAAAAACTGAAAACCCTGATAGTCTTTTTATTGTGTTTTCTTTCTGCTGGGCTCTGGGGTTCGGTAAAGAAGGCAGGTGAAGAAGAAAGAACAAGAGAAGAAAAATGGACATGAAAAACCACAGTGAAATAAAAACTGATCAATGTTAGGCCTGGTGATTTCTGGCAGGGAATTATATATAAAATTAGCTGCAGGAATACAAGGTTGCCTATTCTCACAGAGTAGGTACTAATTTATAATTTACCTACAATCTTCAAGCTTCGTACAGTTTTTGGGTTCTATGAGGGAAGCAAGGACCCTAATAAAGTTATTTTCTATACTAATAACTCATAGTAAGAGACACGCTTTTCATTGGGGGGGATGACAAAATTAGAATGAAAAAGACTTCATTTTTACACTTAAAAAGCTATTTCATACTGAATGACCATCAGTAGTAATAAAGGAAAGGTCCTCTGTTCTTGTAAGACACAATTTGACTTTTAAACAGATTTCCTCTAAACCTAGATCAAGTAGAATGAGATGCTGTTGTTAGTACAAACTCAAATGCAAAATGGTTAGTTAGTTAAGTTAGTGGACTCTGTACCTTCTCCTATGAATGGGAGGCCTCCTTACAACATCCCCAAGAACTCGCATTGAACTGAAAATGAATCATGTACAGAAGTCAGAGAATGAAGTGAGATGAAATGAATACAAATGCATGAAACATACACATACAAAACACAAACTGGGAAGGGAAACAACTCCAACAGAGAAACAGTATATGAAATCTCAAAGGAAAAGAATGAGGATTGAGAAAGACATCCAAACCCAAAAGGCCCAACTTCATTTTTTGAGAACTATTTCACTGTGTCCTCAGGATATGCCTCTGAAAGGTACACTCCAATACTCCAAGATATTAAGTAGATAATAATCAATGAGGCATGTTAAAATCCCAGGGTGAATGGTAAGAACGGAAAAAAAAAAGCATTCCACTGAACTTTCCAATTTTTAAAAAGGCTTAAAAATTCAGACTATAGCATGTGCATATAAATTTGTACCAATCAGGCAACCAAACTCATCTACTGATAGTTAGGACCTAATTCCTCTGTTGGAGGCTGTTTTTTTAAAAAATGAACACATACTTCAATCATTTAGAAGTATTCTATCTTGTCACAAATTTAGGCATTCAGCTTCTACCAAATCAAGTGATGCAGAAGTCTTAAAAATCTCCTTTGTTTAGGATTAGCCATAGCTCCCTTGTTTTGAGAATATATTGTTCTTAGAAATCCTTGAACAGATTCAGTACCTTTAAAAAAACTCTCTCAATAAATGAGTTATGGACTCATCCTCAGTTACTTGTAAATCTACTTTTATTTGCTGCTTATCGAATAGATGTGATTATATATACACACACATGTGAGTATAGATATATGTATATATTTATATATGTATGTGTGTGTATACACACAGACACAATCTGGTTATAAGAAATTACTACAGAACTATGCATTATCAAAAGCTAGTTAAGGGCATTAACATTCAGGAATCTGAGACTCATTTGGTTGTTGAGGGATATAGTGTTGACACAGCACATTTAAAAAAAGACTAAATGAATTATTTTCTGTAAATATTTAGCTCTCATCAGAACTGAACAGAGTAAAATATAAAAATGACCATTAATCATGTCTAACCACGGAAACATAATTTATGTAATAAAATAATCTAGAACTATAACACTAAAATTATTTCATGCTGCTGCAATGTAAGGGGGACATAAAAACTTCAGATAAGAGCAAATAAAATAGTCAAGAGAACTGAAGGGCATCCATGTGTGAAACACGTGCTCCCTGTCCTCAATAAGACAAAATTTTCAGTCTTCAAGGGAGGGACTTGGAGAAGGAGGGAGAGGGAATGATTATGATGGGCACAGCCTTCTTTAAGTCCTAGAGTAATGTAACAATGGAGCTCCCCAAAGCTTAAGAGAGACTAGTACATTTTGAGGAAAATTAAAGGAGATATCACTTCATACAATTCACAAAACATATAATCTCCAAGAGCTGATGCTGGCTAAAATAACAAATACTTCAAAAAGGATTCAGATATGTATATGAATAGTAAGTTCAGAAAAGTTTTTCTTAGTTCACAGATAATTCATTCATATTAAAATACCAGGGCAAGCAATTAATGTGGGAGGTAAAATCCCTAGTCTGCTTAAGTTAATATAATAGAAGAAAACTGCTCCCATAGAATGACCTTTGAGAAGAGAAGAAACACTGACATTCATAGGTAATTTCTTATGTTAGAATCATAAAATCACAGAACTTGAGACTTGAAAAAGAGATTCTTTATCAGTATTTATATGTATGTGTGTACGATAACACACAATTCTAGCATAAGCAATTTTCAGTAGGTAACATTTGGGGATTTTTTTGTGTGAAATTTAGGATCGATCTCAAATGAAATAAACATTACTTATTACATGAAACTTTCAAGGCCTGCTAAATGTAAAATACTAAAAATGGCAGTATCACATGGCAGAGAAGAAAAGAGGGTTCTAACCCAAGGGTCCTGCTTCCTCTACTGACTATAGCTGTGTGGTTTGGACAGTCACTTCACTTGTCGGGGTGTCAGCATCCTTATTTATAGGATGGGGATAATACTGGGCTGGACTAGATGGACATTAAAAGTCCCTTCCAACTCTAAAATTCTGTGTGAAAGCCCTCTTGTACCCCTCTCATATGAATGTGGAAAGGGATCAAATGAAAACGTTACATGGCAACAACCTGAAAACAACCAAATACCATAATAAATGTAAGCCACTGATGTTATATGAATAAATTAGACATGTAAACCAAAAGTTCTTGGAGAAATGGTAACAAGGAGAATCTTGAGTTTAAACAATTCAGTGATTCAGGAAATGAAAACTCCTTTACAGCTGGTACACTCCAGTATATGTAGAAGTAGGCAATCCCAAGCTATCAAAGAAGCAAAGGATCACAGACTTAGAGTGGGAATGGATCTGAAAGACCACCTAGTCAAACCTGCAAATTTTACAAAAGAAGAAACTGAGCCTCAAGAGAGGCGAACTGCTTTTTATCACACAGGCAAAGTGTCAGGGGCATGATTTACTTTAACTACTATAAACACTGTGATTGTGACATCCACTCCCATTAGCAAGTGGGGATACAGAGAACATGGAAATTCAACATGTATCACAGTCCACCAGAACTATTAAAATTAAAAAAAACTATCAAAAATCATTTGGCAAGATGGTATTATGAGTCAAATCTGACTTCTCATAATCTACTCCATACCTGAAAACAGTATGTAGGACTCAATTTATGTAAGTCTCTCTGGTAGTCTGATACCTTAATGATAAATACTAATCAGCTAAAACTAAATGCACTTACTCGGGGGGTGACTGACATCAACACTGACAAATTAGCCTTTACAAAAACTTTATACAACAAACAGATGGTCATAATTTCCATCAGACACTCTAAAAAGTCTGTGTTGGGGTTTTTGTAAGTATGGGTTTTTGTGTGTGTGTTTTGAAAATTCCAAGTCTATGCAATTTTTTCTTTCTTATAATATATTTTAACATCTATTTAAAGTTCTTGGAAGAAACACGTCAAGAAGGTTAAAACATATTATCAAGCCCAAGTCAAAAATGTTCTAAACCAGTAGACAATGTGAAGAATGAGAGAAATGCTGTTATCTCACCTTCGGTGATTCATCTCAGCATCACTGGCGGCATTTTTCCCTGGTCCCCAGCTGTGTCTCCGGAAAGGGGACAGAGAACGCATAGAGTTTCTCAGGACAGAGCAGTTTGTGGGCACTTCGGTGATGCTATCCATCTCCTCTTCTTCCATTTCACCTGAGCCAGCAGGTTCACTCTCACTTTCCTGTCTTTCAACTCCTACCGTGTGGCTATAGGACCCATCGAGGCTCTGCCGATCCTTGGTCCTGTTCAGGTTCCGAATTTGGGGGAGGGAGATGTCACTGCCATGGGAAGAGTGCCGGTCCAGGGAGGCTGTGTCATCTGTGGAAGAGCTGGACCCAGTGACATCACAGACTGATTGCTCCTCTTCAGGCTGTAGTGGGACAGAAAGCATAACAATTAAAAGCACAACAGAGTCTAGCAAATAACTCGGGGCAAAAACACTTAGACCACCCGCTGGATGGCTCTCAAAAAAAAAAAAGCTCAATATAAAACTCCAACCGTTTTTCCAAAGGCATTTGGGGTCTTCTAGTGACCTAGATAACTCAACCCTAGATCACAAATTCTTTGACTGATTCAATAAAACTGCAGAATGCCAAAAAGACCAATAGGACACTACAGTTTCCTTAAGTAGCTTAAAATCTAGCTGGAGAGAGGAGTCAAGCATACACATAAAGCAGAACAGGAGCAGTATATGCGCATTATGCTATGGGAACATTGAGGAGGTAGAGGTTACTTTTGACTAAAAAGGATCAGAAAAGGCTTCATTAAAGAAGCAGCATTTGAGCTGGATTAAAAAGAATACTGAGAGTTTTGATAGAGATTGGTCAGGAGGTGCACTACAAGGATAAAAACAGCATGTCAAAAGTCTGAGGACTGGAAAAATAAAAACATGTATTTGGGGTGGAAATCCAGTTTGTTGGAAATGATGAATGCATGAAGGAGAGTAATAGCCAGTAAGACTGGAAGGGTGAACTGAAGACAAAGTATGGAAGCCCGTGAATGCTTTGTTAATAAATTTAGAATTGATTCTGTAAAGAAGAGAGAATCATTGATTATTTTTGAGAAGGGCTTCATTCAAAAATGGGCTGGAGGCATGAGCACTTCATTACAGTCTTCCAAACAGTTAACAATCTTTGGCTTAATAAGAATCAGATTCACACACCCTCAATACAATTTCCTATTCATTTTTTAAAATCTCTCTTACTAGATTATAAGTGATCTTCTACACTGTTAATGAATCCCTGAAACACAACAGTTTTCATAGGTGGTAATAAACACCAAAAACAAGAGATTACAATTGTTTTTGCTTCTCTTGATCCTACACAAGGGGAAAAAAACCACTCTAACCATCAATAAAACTTTAGTTAAATATCTTTCAGCATCTTAAAGCCAACTAAAATCAAATAAAACTCCATGGAGTCTACCCTGTAGATATACTCTTGATGTATGCTATAAATTAGTTCTAATTTTCTTTAAAAGCTATAACTAGAAACTAAGATGGTCCTTGGCTATAGAACATGCACCAATGTTAATACCCCCAAAGAGATTCATTTTGTGGTTATGTTCCCAATGGCTATTATAAAAACATGCAGAACTGTTTATGATAGCACCTGCAGTTTATGTTAAAGAAAGAAATAGTCCTTGTCCTAAAGGGAAATAGGATTAACTACTCCTTTTCCTCTCTTCCCTAAGGTGCTTTATTAAGTAAAACCATTACCCAGAACCACTAGGTGAGTTAATGGATTTTTTGAGAAAGTAGCACTGATCTTTCACTGGCAGGCCACCTAGTGCCAAATAGGAATTACACACTTTGAGGGCTATGATCTGACATGCTGAGCCAGCTGAAAGATACCAGAACTCATAATTTGATGGGTGGGTGAATTCAAGAAGATAATGAAGATAAATGCTAATATTGTGACCACAAGGGCAATTATAAATATGGACACTGCCTAGAGTATACTAGTCTCTTCTTGCAAGTTAAGTGAACAGGGAGAATGCTGGCTGGCACTTCTGTCCACCTTCAAAACAATTTGATATAAATGTCAATCTAATCTCGCTTCAGTCAACAGTACTAGATAGCCTCTGGGTTCCCTCCCTTCAGCACTAAATCCATGATTCGGATTGTGAACAAATGTAATGCTAAGTAGATTCTCTTTTGAAAATTGTTATTCTAAACTTCCCACCTTCTAAAAAAAAGACAGTTTTACTAATTCACATGAAAGTTTCTCCCTCTCATAAAGTCTGACGAATTAAAAAAAGTAAAATTTCCCAGATTTCTTCAACCTAAACCTCTCAATCAGTTTCATAAAAATAGTAATTGATAACTCTTAAACAAGGAAAGGGAAGAAGATAAGATGGAATGATAACTGAGTAGGTGGCAATAAATAGCTGACAGTTACTAAGGGTCACTTTCAGTCTGATTCTAGGTATGATGTGAAATACAAACACAAACACACACACACACACACACAACACACACACACACACACAAAAAAAATCTTCCCATATTTGGGCTCTAGCTAATATTTTAAGATGGACTGGGTGAATATTCTTCCATTACCAGTTTTAATACCACGGTATCCAAAAAGATCTCTTATTAGTTTACTCTAGTTCCTGATATCAAAATTATCAAACTCACCTTCAAATCCAAAAGCTCTCAACAGCTGACCTTAGAGGTGCTGTTCTCCTACTCCCTACCACCTCCCTAGCAGTATTGAAATCAATACAATATAATGACAATGCCTTGTATTTATGCAATAACTTTCTTCTTCAATCACTTAACCTCTCTGAGCCTCAGTTTCCTTAACTATAAATGGGGACATACAGGTTTGTATGTATGCACGCACATATATGTGTAGATACAAGTGTGTAGCATATATGTATAACACCTGTAAATGTATATATATTTATACATACGTGCATCTAAAATTGTATGCACATATAACTATAACATCAACCTGATACAGGTGTCATACAAATGAAATATGTGAATGGTGTTTTGTCAACCTTAAACTGCTCTATGAGTGTAGAATATTATTATTATTAATTATTATTATTATTATTGTTGTTAAGAAACTAAAAGAGCTTTAATCCTCCAATAATCCTACAACAACATCACAAAGTTAGCCAGAAATAAAAATAATAACCAGATAATTTTTTTATGGTTAATTTCACACTTTCCCTCACCCCACATATCTAATCAGTTGCCAAATCTTGCTGTTTCTAACTTTCATTAACACCTCTTTCATCTGACTTCTCTCCACTCAGAGAGTTACCATCTTAGTTCAGGCCTTCATCACCTTCTCAACTGGACTACTGCAGCAGCCTCTTAATGGGTCTCCCTGCTTCAAGAGATCTTATCCTCCCTACTCTGGGAGATCTTATACACTGCTATGAAAATGATTTTCCTTAAGCACGAATCTGACCATAGGTCTCCCCTATTCAACCAACTCCAGTAGTTTCGATTGGCTCTAGGAGAAACCCAGCCCCAAGTTATCTTTCCAGTTTCACTGGACAGTATTCCCCCTCCAAGAGCTAGCCAAACTGGACTTCTTTCTCTTCTTCCCTCACAATACTCCATTTCCCATTTCAGTTCATTCACACTGGCTGGTCCTCCAAGACGCGAATGCATTGCTTCCTTAACCACTGACTCACAGAGTCCCTCTTTTCCTTTAAGAATGACTTGGTAAGTCATTCTCCAATTGATAAATGGTCAAAGGATATGAACAAGTAGTTCTCAGATGAAGAAATTAAAGCCATCTATAGTCATATGAAAAACCGTACTAACTCACTATTGATTAAGAGAAATGCAAATCAAAACAACTCTGAGGTACCACATGACACCTATCAGATTGGCCAACATGACAAAACAGATAAATGTTGGAGAAGATGTGTGAAAATTGGAACACTAATGCATTGTTGGTGGAGTTGTGAAATGATTCAACCATTCTGGACAGCAATTTGTAACTATGCCCAAAGGGCTATAAAAATATGCATACACTTTGACCCAGAAACATCACTTCTAGGTCTTTATCCCAAAGAGATCATAAAAATGGGAAAAGGACCCACATGTACAAAACCATTTATAGCAGCTCTTTTTGTTCTAATAAAGAATTAGAAACTGAGGGGATGCCCATCAATTGGGGAATGGCTGAACAAGCTGTGGTATATGAATGTAATGGAATACTATTGTGCTATAAGAAATGAGGAGTAGGTGGGCTTCAGAAAAACGTGGAAAGACTTGTATGGACTGCTGCTGAGTGAAGTGAGCAGAACCATGAGAATGCTGTACACAGTAACAGCCATGTTGTATGATAACTAACTTTAATAGACTTAGCCCTTCTCAGAAATGCAAGGACCTAAGACATTTCCAAAAGTCTCATTACAGAAAATGCTACCCACATCCAAAGAAAGAACTATGGAGTTTGAACACAGATTGAAGCACACTATTTGCTATTTTTTCTTCTGTTTTGTTTTGTTTCCTCTTTCTTGTGGTTCTTCCTATTGGTTCTAATTCTTCCTTACAACATGACTAATGTGAAAATATGTTTAATAGGAATGTATATGTATGGCCTATATCAGATTGCGTGCCATCTTTGGGAGGGAGGGGGAGAAAAATTAAAAACTCGAAAGCTTATGGAAGTGATTACTGATAAAATAAATTAATAAAAATTTTTTTAAAAGGGTAACTTGTTAAAGCCTACATGGAAGGGAATGGAAATTCTATCAATAGCTTCTGCTATGAGGTCTTATTTTTAACTTTTATCCATTTATAAAAATTAGGTATGTTACTTACAAACCATTACCAATAAAATTAAAACGTTAGACTTTGGGATATCATTAATCCTTTAAAAAAGTAAAAATACCACAAAGCACAATTAGTGAAATTCCAGTAAGATTTCGAAATCTAAAACTGCCTGTTCATTTATTGCTTTTCCTTAATGATAATATCACCCATCAAAAGATGGCAGAACCAATAAAAGGATCTGCTATTCAATTTTGATCAATAAAGAGGAACTAGTTGGTGGGGTAAAGAGAATGGGATCCTTGGGGTGACATGTCCATTCAATGTTGTAAATTGTGATGGAAAGAAAAGGCAGTGATACCTCGATGTGAGATTTTTAGAAAACTGAATTTTTTTTTTTGGCTAGGCAATGGGGTTAAGTGACTTGCCCAGGGTTACAGCTAGTGAGTGTTACATATCTGAAGTCACATTTGAACTCAGGTCCTTCTGACTCTAGGGCCAGTGCTCTATCCACTGCGCCACCTAGCTGCCCTCTAGAAAACTGACTTTCAAAAAGATCAGTAGGATTCCATGGCCTGAAATTCGGCAGATGTCATCAGACACGAAGGCATTGGTCAAGCCTCAAGCACGATATTTAAAAGAAACAAGTTCAAAGAGGAGGAAAAGTAGTATTGTCTAATAATATGAATATACAGAAAATGGAAAAAAAAAAGACAAGTAAAAGAATGAATACAAATGTAGGCCTCGTCCTAAGAGAATAGTGTTAAAAGTACTAAAACTAAGAACAAGATGATCCTGTGAGGAAAAGAGGGAAGGGAGAGGGAGAGGAAGAGGGAGATTCAAGAAAGAAAAGAACTACTGCTAAGGGTAGAAGGAATAATGAAAGCATAATAAGAGTGTACAACTATTCAACGCTTGTTTTCTCTGTCAAGAACCATGACCTTTGGACTGCAGAGGACATATAAAAATGGTTAATATGGAGTAAATACCAAAGATAATTAGAGTGATAGTAAGAAAGACCTTCACTTCCCTTAGGAGTTTTCAAGTAATCAAGCCCAGATATCTAGAAAGAACTGGTGGACATAATTGCTGAATTACTATCAGTGAGCTTCAAAAGGCCAGGTAGAACGAACAGCTGTCAGAGGAATAGAGAAAGACAAATACCCTGACTTTCAAAAAAGGGAAGACTGCGGAACGTGTAAACTGTAGACCTGGGAGCCTGGCAATAATGATAAATTCTAGAATTCTTCCATAAATCTAAGCGAACATTACATCATGGAAATGCTATTGATATAGGAACAGAGATTTAGAATTGGAAGGGACCTTGCAAAGTCATCTAGAGCCCAATACCTTCATATAATAGATGAAGACCTAAGAGGTTAAAAGACTTGCCAGGGCCCCCAAGTTGTAAGGGATGGATCTGGAATTTGACTTGAACTCTCTGACCTGAAATCCAATGTTCTTTCCACCATAAACAAACACATGCTGATCCTAATATACCTACGTTTTAGACTTTGACAAAGGCCTCCAAGCTATTAATGTGGACAACACAGCTAGACACGAATCGATGACACACAGGCAGATTCAGAACTAGAAAATGACTAGATCCAAGGGTAGTCATTAATAGTCATATATCAACTTTGAAGGAATTTTTAATAGTGTGTCTAACTTCGTTTTAATCAATGCTTTGGAAAAATTCATCCATAATATGTTTAATGAACTTGCAGATGACATAAAGCTAGGAAGAATGATTAGCCACACTGGATTCAGCATCAGCATATAAAAAATCCTGACAAATTAGAATGTTGAGCAAAATATGGAAGATTTAAACTTAGTAGTGATAAATGTAGAGTTTTATACTTGGGTTCAGAAAGTCAGCTTCATAAGGAGAGAGTCGAGCCTATACAGCATTCAAATACACATTTGAAAAAATGACTAAAATTAGTGGGCTGTGAATTAAATAGTAATATGGTTATTGAAAAAGTCGATGTCATTTCAGGCTACATTAAGAGAAGCTCTGGGTCACAAAATAAGGATATGACAGTCCTGTCATATATTAGCCTCGTGGTAATAATAACAATAATAATAAAGATAAAGATAATGACGACGAAGATGACAATGATAAACATTTATATAGCATTTGCTATGTGCCAGGCACTATGCTAAGAATGTTATAATTATTCTCTCATTTGATCCTCACACCCGCCCTGAAAAGTACTATTATTATCCCCGTTTTACAGATGAGAAAACTGAGGCAGAGTAAATGACTTGCTCAGGATCACACAGCTAGCGTGTGTCTGAATATAGATCTGAACTCTGGTCCTCTTGACTCCAGGCCTGGTATTCTACCCACTGTGCCCCACCTAACTGACCCTAACATAGCATATCCTGACTACTGGAAGAATAACTTCAGGGCATGACATTTTATTAAGGGCATCAATAAACTGGCAAGCATCTAAAGGAGGTCAATCTAGAATACTAAAGGGCCTTAGGAATTAGTTATTCTCTTTGGCCCTAAAGGGTAGGAATAGAAGTAATGAAGACTAGAAGATGCAAAAAAGCAAAAAGAAGCTTGAAGCAATGAAAAGCGTTTAATTAAAGCTATCAAAAAGCAGAACGAGCTGCTTCAGAATATAATACCCTTGTTCTTTCTATGGGTCTTCAAGCAAAAGACACGTTTCTACTTGTTATCCAGCCTCTGCTTTTGGTGTGACCACAGAGCAGATTCTATTAAGTCTTTTTTCCAATACAGTTTAGACTAGGTATTCTCTAAAGAACTTCCATCACCACAATGAAGAATACTGGATTTGGAGAGAGTGGACCTGGGTCCTAGCTCTGCTATAATCTGTTTGATTTTAGGCACATCACTTAACTCTCAAAACCTCAGTTTCCTCATCCCTAAAATGAAGGATTTTGGACCAGATGATTTCTGAATACCCTTTTCAATATATGATGCAATAATTCTGTGAAAAGTTAACTATCTTGCTGACCTAAGTAAAAAAGAAAAAGACTTCAATCCTAAAGAACTGTGTTTGCCAGTCAGTCTGAATGAGAATAAATGGTTAAAGTGAAAAAGCCTGGCATATATTAGAGATTATTGTAAAACAAAAACAAAAAATTAAACAATTAACACCCTCACCCCAACCTTTAGGGTCAGACTCACACAAATGTCTGTAGGAAGTGACCTAATGTGCCTTTCACAGTTCACAGAAGAAGGATGTTGCAATGCCTAGTCTAGAGACTGTTCTTCAGGCAAGAAGGAAGATGACTGGATCATGGGAATAAGTCCTGCCAGAATCTTAGTGCTCATTGTTTAGACAGATTTAAAATGATTTCATCTCTGAAGAGGGCCTCTGAAAAAAGCAACTGGTGATTTGTGTACTAATGTAGTGCCTTTACAAATCATTCAGGTGAAAACAAGAGTTATGAAGACTAAAGACAAACCAGAAGGCAAAAGCAGAGAACACTCCACTCCTATGTGAACTTTTAAAATCTGAATGCTAGATAAAAGACCTATCATAAGAATGCTTCCTTTACGAGTCTCAGCCTATCCAATTTTGGGATGACTGGGGGAAAAAAACAAAGGGACGGCTCATTTTGCATTTCTTCAGATCATTTAGAATTTAGTGCCAAAAAGGCAGAGAAGTTCCACAAAATTAAAATTTTTCCTGTATCACTTGATTCAACCTATGTAGAAAGTCCATTTATTTTCACATTTTTACAACCACATCAATTTATTTATCCCTACAAGCTTGCCAATACCAGCAAACATTATATAACTTTGGCAGCTGACATAAAAGTTAATGAAAATCACATATGTATCTTCATCCAGGCCAAACATACAGCTCAACAACCAGACTTTACTGTCAATTTGCAGGATTTGGGACTATGCAAAAACAAAGACAATTTTAAAAAGCAGATTTCTGTAGTGAAAAGCGTACTGAGCTTAAAGTCAGAGGACTAGAGTACAAGTCTCAACTACATTACTTGTTTGCTATGTGACCATAAGCAAGTCCCTTAACATTACTCTTTAAGCTTCAGTTTCTGAATATAAAGTAACACTTGTGTCACCTATTTCACCGGATTGCTATAAAGAAAGCACTATTAAATGAGTTATGAGATTTTGGTGCCATGAATTGGATACAGGATGAGGGTAGTTAAAAATTCATAAAAAACAATAAAAAACAGTCAAAATCAGTATCATTTCAAAGATGTATATATCACTCAGAATGGTATTCCCCTTAGCAATGAGACCTCGTTGGGGAATTATTAGAGACCTTTAAAAGTCCCAGCATTTAGAACTTCAAAGGCATATTAGAAAAACACCATGCATTTGGATTTTGTCAGTTTTCCTCTCCTCAAAATCAAGGGAGGAAAAATTTTCTGACATAAAGATTTTTGTTTCATAAGAGGAAAGTCAGTCCTTGGGACAAATCATTCCAGAAAATATTGATAGTAATCCTGAAGTTGCCACTTTAAATCTTCCCCAGAACTCTTTGGAAATATTGGGCTAAAGAAAGGAAACAAAGTGGGGAGTGGGATAGAGGAAACAGGCTGTAAACGTGGGAGCTGAACAAAACCAGGAGCAGAATAGATTGAAGGGGAGAGTAAATTCCCCAAAGGTCCAAATAAATTCTAGAGCAGAACCTATGGAACTTGTTAAAGCCTTCCTTACTCCACAGTCATCTTGACACATTGCCCAGAATAAGGATTAACTTAATAGCCCTTATCAAGCAGTTATATTAGGCATCATAAAAAAGGGAGGCATTAGTTCATATATATTATACACAGAGGAGTCAATTTTATTTTCTTCTTTTACATACACACACAGACACACACAGACACACACACACAGACACACGACACAGACACTCACAATCTTGGCACAAAACCAAAAACTACTGCCTTTTTCCTCCCATGGCTAGGGTTGCTATGCTCAGTGTGGGAAAGCCTTCGCTTAAGTTCTATCCTAATGAAACAACATAGAACACTTTTCAGCTAGATTCAGGCAAACGCAAGCAAACCACCCCTTTCATTAGCTGAAGCCTCAAATTACATGTAAACACTGGTTTCATGATTCCGGTTAATACCGCACATGGGCTTTGCAGGGATAGCACTATCTTCTGCCGCTGCAATGGCAGACAGGCAAAGTTCCCCAATGGTGATGCTGAAGGTTTCCGTTAAGCAAGCTGGGTGAGGAGGGATGATATCACTAAGACCAGGAGGAAGCTCTGGGTCCCACCACATTCATCAGAAATGACCCCAGATCCAATTTATAGTACATGACATCATTTAGTCTAGGCTGTGGTCTCTTCTTACCCACTGGAAAGAGTTCATTGTCATCTGACGTGATTTAAGCAAAATGAACTTCCATCTGCTTAAGGTTCAATGGATGCTTCAAAACCTGAAAGTGAGCAGCCATGATTTTACGCACAACAGAAGGGAGCAACGCCATTTGGTAAGCTATTTGAGCTTCAGGTTTTTTTCCTTTTAAGGGGAGTTCTTACATTCAAGTTTGGAGAAAGGGGCAAAAGAAGATTAGTTACATCTGGCAGCACTGAGCCATAGTTACCAAAACGTGAGCCATCTTCACAAAGGGAGGCAACCCACATATACCTTTGGAAAGATAATGCCGTCATCAATTTCATCACTGGGTGAAGGGAAGAGGTCAGAATCACTGCCAGATTGTCTTTTAAGTACACCCTGGGAGGAGGCACACTTGCCACCCAGTCCAACTTCCAAGAAGTTCTCGCATTCTGCAAAATAAATAAATATTATGTATAATTTATTCAACACGGGTTGTTGTTTTTTTTTTTTGAGTGGTAAAAATCAGACTGCATTCCAGCAATCTGCCTGCACATGTTAAGATATCCAGAAAGGCTATAAAGGAAATATAGGCAGAGTTGAAGCTTTCCATTTTATAATCTCAATTCTAGGCATCTGGACAGGAATTACAGCTGTTCGTGTTAATTTACACCTGTTTACGCCACTGGAGTCACTCTAGGATATTTAGGAAGCTGAAGAAAACTTTTTGTTTATATGCAAAACAGACAAATGTGACTTAGAAGACCTGTTCAACTTTTGAAAAACTGCCGACAAATCAGTGCCTTCCTCCTCTGGAACAGAGTAATCTCCTTGCAACCAAGGATAAAAATGGCATTATTACAAAGTTTAGCAATGAGTCATGAACTAATTCGTATTGGTAATTCACACTTATATAGCACTTTAAGATTTACAAAGACAAGTATAGACTCGTCCCTTGTTAGGATTTTCCAGATAAATGAAACATTAAAAAGGAAGAATAAAGAACAATCTTAAAAGTAAATTTTAATTTTAAAATGTGATTACTAGTCTTTATTAGCTAACAAAAACATTGCAAATATTTCATTTTTTCCTATGGTACACTGAAATTATACTTATGCCAAAGGAATAATAAACAAATATGGAAATGTATATTTGCCCCTTGAAAATGGTTGTCAAGCATTATAACTGGTCAAAGGATTTTGATAAATGGTCTATTGGCTTTTGATTTTGGGTAATTATTAGACTGATAGAAAAAGGAATGTCTTAGACATGTAACTCGATTTTAGCAACTTATTTCATAGTCTCTGGACAAGACAGAGAAATGTGAGTTGAATGACAGTAAGGTTAGATGTTTGCAGAGTTGGCTTCATAACTGTACAAAAAGAAAGTTAATGGATTGTTGTCAACTTGAAGTCTGGCGCTTGTCACAGATTCCTATTGTAGTCTCTGTACTATTAGACATATGTTAGCGTTTCTTTCCTTGTTTTTAAATCAGTAGCCCAAAAAAATTATATGAAACATTTCTATTTAATCTGGGTGACAAAATAGAGAGTAAGTTAATGTGATGGCTGGTTAAAAAAATATTTAGAATGATACTGACAGGTTTGAATGTTGGTACCAATGACGCGAAATTAACAGGCATGTGGTATCTGAATAAAGAGAGGCAATAGATCTGTGGTGTTCTGCACACTAGTCAGACCACATTTGGAATATTATATTGAGATCTAGTGGTCAATTTTTAAAATAGGGGAAATGGCAAAATACAGAGTCACCATTTAGAAGTGAGCGACCAGGTTAGCAAGGGGTCTGGGAATATGTCATATACTATCTTGTAGAAGAGGGAGTAATCTTATTTTGTGGAGCTCCAGATGACAGATATCATTCAAAACAGAGCTGTTCAACGACAGAATGAGTTGTTTCACCTAGGCTGTTACATTAGTCTCTTAATTGGTCTCTCCACATCGCATTTAACCTTTCCTCACTGCAATACACCCCTTGCAGAGCCATCAATTCTTTGCTCAAAAAGATTCAGTGGCTCCCAACTGAATTGGGATAACATATTACCTGTTCTCTTTGTCATTTTTTTGTTTGTTTGTTTTGGCTAGGCAATGGGTTAAGTGACTTGCCCAGGGTCACACAGCTAGTAAATGTCAAGTGTCTGAGGTCAAATTTGAACTCAGGTCCTCCTGACTCCAGGGCTGGTGCTCTATCCACTGCGCCACCTAGCTGCCCCTCTCTTTGCCATTTTAAAGCCCTTCACAACCTGGCTCTAACCTATTTCCTCATGCTTATTACATATTATTCTCTATGAAATCTATGCTCCTGACAACTATTCCTTGCACAAAACATTTGTTGTATGAAACATTTCATCACCTTCCTCTGTAGTTTCATGCTTTTCCATCTCTCACTTCTTGGAAGTTCCCAGAAGGCAAGAGTTTTCTCATTTTGTGTTTGTATACCCAGCAATGGGGCATAAGTGCCTGGCACATACTGGCAGTTTACAAATGCTTATTGATCAACAATTTCTGATATTCAAGCAAAAACCTGATGTGTCAAGAGTATTACTGAAGGGATGCTGACATGGTGTTGGAATTAGGATCAGATAACGAAATAAGTTCCTTTTGCATTTCAATTCAACAAACTTTCACTAAGCCTCATTGTGTGTAGTGTACTGAGCTAGGTGAAGTACAGATTTAAGTAAAGTATGGTTTCCTTCATAAAGATTTCACTCTTTTTATAACTTGAATTTATTTTATCTCGTGTATGTGTTGTACTCCTTCCAGCAGAATGTTAAGTTCCATGAAGGCAAAGACTTCTGTTTTTGTCTTTGTATCCCAAGCACCTAGCATAGTGCTTTGCACAAAGGAGGTACTTAACAAATGTCTCCTGAACTAAAACGATATGCTTTCATGGACCTTACAGTCTAGGAAAGGGGTGTGATACACACAAAACTATATAGCTAAAGAGGAAGGCCTTAGAAGAGATATTAATTTTCTATCCCCCTTCTGTGACGTGTCACAGGGAGGGGAAGAGAAAATTGATTTAGTCAAGTGGTTACATATCAACCTTGGGCTTTAATATACTGTCTTGGGCCTAGAATCTGTGCCCTGCCCTGCCCTTCCTCTTCCCCCTCCTCAAACCACCTGCTTGCTATAAGCCTGCTGATGTTTGGAAAATACTGAGAGCTTGGGAAGAGCTAAAGGAAGCATGAACAGAGGCAAAATGGAAAAGAAGAATGAAATCTGAAAGAGAATATTCCAAATTCAAGCTAAAATCTCAGTAAAAAATTGAACCCCAAGTTCCCATCCCACTGAAAGCTATTTCTACATGTGATAGATACCCCAAAAGGAACAGCTTTGCCTTCTGTTGGCAGAAGGCTGATTGGAAACATTCATATTCAACAGATCATTCATGCCTCACAGAACCCAGACTGTGTACTGGGTGTATTATAGTGGGTGTGGTCTTTCCACTCTTTTTCCCCACTTGGAAAATCTGAACCTCCAGTCTGAAGTGGAGGAAAAATGAGGAGTAGGGAGGGGGTAGAAAGGCCAAGAAAAAGAAAAAGCTGTAACAGCAACTATGCCTTGCTGCTGCTCACAATCCCGCTGGCTGCCTAACAAACCACGTTCAGATTCCAGACTGAAACAGAAACCAGCTTAGTGACATTCCAGTGGAAAATTCACAAGAAAGCTTCAGATTCAAGGCTGGTGGAAGTTCCTCCCCAAGAAAATACATCCAAGTAGGCACTGAAATGGACCATGAAGCCAAGCATGGGTCAAAACGGGCACAATGAGTGGGATAGCACAATAGTAACAAACTAAACAGAAAGGGTGGGAAAAAGGCAAAAGGAAAATCCACCCACACCCTAAAATCACATGACAAAAGTTTCCAAAAATGAAAAGTTAACTAATCTTCCCTTCTTTTAAATGTCTGATGCATAGATTCTGGAAATTTTCCAGTTATTATGGTCCAATACACTTCTAGTGTCACCACTGAGACATGGCAGCAGAGAAAGCTGTATTTAAAAAGGGCTGCGGTGCTATCCTCAGATAGGGAGGCAGCTGTCCTGCTTTATTGTGGGCAGGTTAGGCCTCTCCTGGAATATGGCATTCAGTTCTGGGTGCCTCATTTTAGGAAGGACACTGACAAAATTAATGTCCAAAGGAGGACAGCCAGGATAGGAAAGGTCCTTTATTTCATTCCATAAGAATTTACTAGAGAAGGAGGGGTATTTAGTTTGAAGAGAAGTTTGCTTCTTGATCAGTCATGATAGCATGGCTACAAAGCACAGAACTAATGACAATGGGTGGAAGTTGTCAGAAAACAAATTTAGGTTTGACATAGGGAAAAATTTCCTAATAATCAGAGAGGTCCAAAGGTAGAATAAAGATTCTTACGCAAAAGCTGTAAGACCACTTGTCAAGGAAATACAAAAGTGATTCTCTCTCAGGAATGGGCTGCTTTGACAAGACTGCCACTGATACCTTTCAACTGTGAAGTTTTGACTGATACAAATGATAAAGTGGGTCTTTTCCAGATTCTGCAGAGCAGATGTGTTAAACTTTTTGCCCACAAAACTCCCAAGTGAGGCCTGAACCTGATTAAAATTTAATTGGGAAATGTTTAGCCAAATAAATAAAAATACGGTATAGCACACATAAATGTTAATTTGTGGTTTTCTAAGTCAATATGCAGTCAGCAGGAATCACTTCTATTTGAGTTTTAGGGAAGGGAAGGTATAAATAACAGATGACAGATAGCTAAAAGTCACAATAACCCATTCTCTACCTGAGTGTTGGTTCTTGAAGAAGAATGCAAACTGTAATCTATAAAACCCAAGCAAAAATACCCTGGATTTGTAACAGAGAATGCCTAAAGCTAGACAATGAAACCCAGAAAGAAAATTCACACTTAAAATTTTGCTAAACTAGAAGACAAATCTGGGAAATAATACAGATTTGGTCCTATGAAGGATGATCAGCTTCCTTAAATACATGAATTAAACATACGTTAAAATAATTCACAAAACTTAATTTTAATGTTGTGTCTTATTTATCTATGCATACTCTCTCAAGAACTAGTATTACGCCTTTATATAGTAATTGATTAATCAATATTTGCTGAAGGAATGACTATATGAGAGGAATGTGCTTTATCCTTTGCACTGGGACAGATTTTGCTGTTTTGAAATTAGAGGAGACAACTTCAGGATTGGGGAACCAAAAGGGAAGGGAAGGTAAAAGGCATTTCTATAGCATCTACTATGCACCAGGCACTTGTGCTGAGTGTTTTACAATATTATCTCATTTGATCCTCACAACAACGCCACGAGGTAGCGGCTGTTATTACACTGACTGTATAGGCGAGGAAACTGAAGCAAACAGAAATTAAGTGACTTGATCAGGGTTGCACAGCCAGTAGGTATCTGAAGCTGGATTTGAACTCAGGTCTTCCTGATTCCAGGTCTAGAACTCTATCCATAGCATCACCTAGCTGCCCCTATCTTGTTTTTAAGTACCTTTGGGATTAGTAACATTACCAAGTTGAAGACACTCACAAAGTCTCTACAGGTGGAGCATTTCAAGTAATCATTTGACTTGCTTGTCCTTAAGTATGGCCCTGCTAATAGAGTTTCTCTGGCTAAATCACTAATAAAGAAAGAGTCCTGGAATATGATAGGGATCTAGTCATTCTTAAAACACATCATGCATAACAGGAGAAATGAATGAAGGTTATAATAATTTAAGAGTCCTGAAGAAGGGCTAAGTTCAGTCCAGAACATAATTTATCATAGTTCATGTGGCATTTATAATAAGAACACTGTTTTGTGACCATGATTTCATCCTCACACCGCCCTTAATGAGGTAGTATAGTAACATCTCATAGATAGGAGGCATTGAGTTTGAGGGATATGATCTACACCATAGAATGAATCAGTAGTTGAGTCTAGATTAGAAGATGGCTTTCCTAACCATAAGTCATATGCTTAGTACACTAACATCTTGTGTCTTATATTAAAATATACTGTTTTAAGTCACTGGTCAGTTGCCAGTATTTCAAATTATAGGGAAAAAGCTCAAGCTTGGATACCGTCAGCATGGTTTTTAACGATTACATGGATTTACCTTTCTCTCTGCATACTACCTTCCCCTCTACTTCACTAAAACTATGCACACCATGGATTTGTATTGCACAGTTGGCTTCAATAGCCTCTTAATGACTCATAAAAGACATGTGTGAAGTTTATTACTGTAGAAGTCAAGCTGAGTAATTACATGTGCTCATCCTCAACTCCTCAAGTGGTGAAGATGAGTGCAAACACAACACCCCCAAATTACATAGGTCCACTCCTTTTTGTGGTAGGGAGATGTAGAATGAGACTAAGATTCAAAAATTTTAGAGACAGATTTGATTATCAAGTTATCTATTTCTTTGACTAGCTATTCAAATAAAATTCATCAAATGTAGAAGTACTGCTTACCTGGGTTCTGTTTGGAAGCCAACAGTGACGGATCTGGGCATGGCTCTATTGTACACCAGCTTTCCCGGTTTATCTGAAGGAAGAGAAAGAGAGAAATTAAGTCCCAGACAGTGAAGGAGACAACTAAGTTGCTGCTTAAAATTTAACTCTTGACCCATAACAATTTTCCTTTTGCTACAACCCTGAGTGAAATGATCTCAAGAAAAAGAACTTCATTAAAATGGTGTAATGTATAAAACCAAAGAGCCTGTATTCAAGGAAGGCAAATATGAATACTGAGCCTCAGTAAAAACCAAGTGCGTGTGAGCAACAGGATGAAACTGACATAGGAAGAGGGTCAACGTAGGAATGAACCAAACCACAGACTGCAACAGCCAAACCCCAATTTAATATCTTAACTCAAAGATCATTGCTAAAGCATAAAGCAAATAAAACAAAATAAAACAAAAACCTCCCAACAACCCACTTACTCATCTGCTCCCAAACAAAAACCCCAACATTTTGTTATCACACTGCTCTATCTTTGCTGTAGCTCAAACCCTTGTCCCTAAAAGACAAAAGCATGGTTACTGAATGACAGAAAGAAATCAACACTTCTAATCTGTAAGCATTAAAAGTTATAAGCTCTAAATAAGATTTTTCAGATGTAATGAACTCACTTAACATATTTATTTTTTCATAATTAGAGCACTTATGAGTTGGAAGGGAACTCACAAGACTTCTGTGCTATTCCTAAGTAACTACTGTGCTAATTAAGGGAAGGAAGAATTTTGTACTACCCATATTATACCTGTCTGTGAAACTGAACTGCACATGCTAAAAGAGAACAAGATATGCAGCGGCCTTGGAGATGACACTGTTGCCAACCCAAGGCTGAATAACAATGGGAAAATGCTGATTCAAAGCATATAATTAGACTGTTTACAATAGTCTGCCAAAATCTCAAGTGCACATAATACCACCAGAAAAAGGTTTGTACACTATAGTCATCACATCAGTAACAAAATGAAGGCATCGGTATAGGGTTCACCAATGTTCTTTTTACTTACTATGTGTTAATGTAATTGCTTCAAAATAATAAACTAGTCCTGGGGATACAGACAAGAAAATAGGCCTCAGCAAAACTGAGGGCACACAGACGCACATAAAATGCATATATGTGGAAGTTACCCCAAACATTTTTTTTCAGCTCTTAAATAATCAAATAGCTCTATAAATTTTTTTTTTTGTGTACCATAAAGTACTATTTATCACAGAAGAATTTCTTTCTTAACCCAAAGCAGAGATGGTCAAGTTGGGAGTCAAAACTTGTGCTGGTTCTTGTGGGATGAGTTCATCTGCCAACAAAGATATACACAAGGACAACACAGATGTACACCTGCATGCAATCTGAGAGACACACTCAGTGCTGGACCAAGCTAGGATTCCATGCCATGGACTGATGTCAAAGCTAGTACTCCTTCCACCACATCATGAGCCTACAACTGGTTTGTTCTTAAATAGAACTTGCTGACAAAGTGCAACAAGGAATCTACAAAACTAACACTCTTCTCCAGGGTCCTGCCTTTAATAACTTTTTCAAAAAAATTTAAGACTTCATCTAATTGGCAAAGCAGATATAGTGCAGGGCCTGGAATCAAGAAAACCTGAGTTCAAGTCTGGTTTCAGACAGTAGCTGTGTGACCCTGGGTGAATCACTTTTGGTCGTGCATAGTTTCCTCAACTGCAAAATTAAGATAATAGTACTTACCTCTCAGAGTTATTGTGAGGATCAAGTGAGATACTATTTGAAAAGTGTTTAACACAGTGCCTGGCACACAGTAGGTGCCATATAAATGCTAGCTATCATTACCATTTTTATTACAGGAGTTATTCATCTTCTTTGTGTCACAGACCTTGCTGGAAGTCTGGTAAGACCTATGGAACTTCTTTCAAAATAATGTCTTTAAAAGCACAAAAAATATCTAGAATTCCAAAGGAAACCAATTATATTGGAATAAATAAATACATACATATACACACACACACACACACATATATATACATACACACACATATATATTTATTATGAAATATGCCCATATTAGAGAGTAAACTTCTTTCTCAAAAGAGATAATATATTTTAAATGGAGACTTAAGGTAAATATTATCTTATTTGATCCTCACAATAATCCTGAGAGCTGGATGCTAGTATTATCATCTCCATTTTGCAGCTGAGGAAACTGAAGCAAACAGTGTAAGTGATTTGCACAGGGTCACACAGCTAGTAAGTGTTTGAGGCCAAATTTTAACTCAGACTTTCTTGACTTCAGGCTCAGCAATTATCTCTCTCATATCTTATGAAATTAAATCTCAAAGTCACTTGAGTTTGGAGAAGTCACAAGAATACTGCTCCCACCCGCCCCCCCCAAAAGTCACTCAATTTAAAGAATATTACAAAACAACCCCTTTTTCCTTGTCTCCTCAGTGCTTCCTAATTGTCTCCCAATCCCCTCCAGCCACCCTCACCTTCATGTTATTGTCTCCCAATTTCATTCTCCAATAAGAAGCCAGGTATCTTAACACTTTAATCCTGTTTTTCATTACCTCCAAACTGTATATTAACTGGGTAAAAAAACAAAGTTCTGGATCCTTGGCTCCTAAAAGCCTTGGTCCTGGTTTGTTATGCAACTGGCATGCACTGTTAATAAACTGCTGCCTAGATGATACTGAATTACCTTATTTCAATGTAACAATGCATTCCTGAAAATAGCAGCTAGTACAATGTCTTATATGAAGTAAGGGACTCGATATCTGATGGATGAATTAATAGCAAATCAATTTTTAGAAAATTAGTTCATGTTTTAGGTGCACTAAGGAACTTTTCTGCACATGCTATAACAGCTTTTATACAAATAGTTTTGTAAAGTGGATTATCCTTTTAATAGTCATTCCCTAATTATAATTTAAAGTTCTTCAATATCAAATTTTCTTAAATGTACACTTGTATAGTAGTAAACTTAGCAATATTAATAGTGTAAGTGTAATAATAAGAATAAATAATATTTATTTCTAGCAACATTAATTTTTTAAAAAAGACTTACAATAACCAGGAGGGAAACTTCAACACAATTTTAGGGTTTTTTTCTTTGTTTAAGTCACTGAATGTGTCATCTACAAAAGAAGGCTACTTTTAAGAAAGCTAATACTTTTCTTCCCTAGACGTAGTCTAGGAATTGGAATTATGCCAGCATGCAACCAGTACTTAAAATTCATTCACCATCCATTTATCTATCCATCCAAACATTTATTAAATGCCTACTACTATGTTAAATACATTTACCAAAGGAGGTAGAGGAAACACAAGGGTAAGAAAACACATGACCATTGCTCTAACGAAGCCTATAATTTGGTAGGAAATGGGAAGGAAATCACAGGAGAATATTTGGGAACATCTGCTGGCATGCAAATTACTCAACAGGATTTAAAACAAAACAATAAAGCAGAGTCTTCAATCATCTATACCACACACTAGAAAAGAAGAGATCGTGTTCCATTCTGAGGGGAGAAAAAGCCCCTAATTACTAGAGGTGTCACTCTGGATCTTTGGTATCCATACAAAGTAATCGTGTTCAGATTTGGAAATTCAGTCTATATCAAGACTCGAGTCACATTTTTCTTTTTTCAGAATGACAAGAAGAAGAAGAAGAAGAAGAAGAAGAAGGAGGAGGAGGAGGAGGAGGAGGAGGAGGAGGAGGAGGAGGAGGAGGAGGAGGAGAAGGAGAAGGAGAAGGAGAAGGAGAAGAAGAAGAAGAAGAAGAAGAGAAGAAGAAGAAGAAGAAGAAGAAGAAGAAGAAGAAGAAGAAGAAGAAGAATGGGATTTTAAGACTGTGGTTTCTGGGGAAACCCAGTGTTTCAAATTACTCCTAATTTATCTAGTTAGGTCAGCAGCATCATGCACATATACACTTCATGTAATTTCATCTGGCTCAAACACTTTTTGACATGAAACTTTACATTTTGCTATTTACTAGTACCAAAGGACTTCAAAATGTCATTAGTATTTAATGTCTTTTAAAATTAGTGGCTAATAATGGTTCTTAGATAAGACTATTCTAATTTTTAAGCTAACATTTTCTAAACTCTCTTGATCGTGGAATGTTTTGGGGTTGGACTTGAAATTCATAAATGTAAGCCATAAATGTTGGTTGAGACGTAGAGGTGGGGAACCTGCAGCCTTGAGGCCACACGTAGACCTCAGAGATTTGTTCTGTGAAGTTTGGATTCAGTCAAAAGGCCACACTTGAGGACCTACAGGCCACATGTGGCCTCAAGACTGCAGGTTCCCTACCAGTAAAGCAGTACGGAATACCTCCTTTAAGTCACTGAATTTGTCTTAAAAAAAAATCATGGCAATTAAACCTATTTTCATAATAAAAACATGTCCCATGAAAGTACTGTTGATACATAATTTCGTATTTACATTAAATTGGGCCACCTCTGACACATACAAATAAGAACTGAGTGACCCTTGGGTAAAACAAGCAATCAAAAACCCCGATAATTGTAGAAGAGCTACAGATTCACATAGAGAAGTTTTTTTTTTCTCACCAGGAGTTTCCTATACCAATGAAATCACAGGCCTAGACCAAAAATAAAAACTTTACATTTAGTATTTCAGGGAGAAGAACTGAAATCTCCTCCCAAAACTCCAGCTCCCATTGTTTAATGGAACACAGCTGCAGATATGCTGCCTTGGACCTTCAGAGGCTGCATTCTGAATAAGATGGGAGCACCTCAAAACTGCTGATATGAAGGCCAGATGAAACCAATCTATATCTGGGAGTGGAGATGGTGAAGGATGGACAAAGGACTTCCCCACCCTGAACTGAAATATTAAAGAGGCTTCCTTGCTAACCCAGCAGACTTCAACTTGAACAATAGCTAATAATAGCTGGTACTGATATAGCATTTTAAGGTTTGTAAAGCACTTTACATACGCTTTTCCATCTGAACCTCATAATAACCCTGTGGAGAAAAGAGGGTGCTATAATTATGCCCATTTTACTGTTGAGGTAACTAAGGCTGAGAGAA